CAGACTCGATATCCTTTTACTTCACCTTTAGCATCAGTTTTCTTTACCACGGTTAAGGGTGTATTCCATTCCGTATTAGCAGGTGCTTTCTTTATAATGCCATTATTTAACCATTCCTTTATTTGTTCGTCAACAACTTCCATCATTTTTAAAGGAACAGGATATGGTTTCTTGTAGGCTGTCACATTTGGAGGAGTGTCTAGTGATACAACACTTTCTGGAATTGTGCAAAATGATCCTTTTGCAATATTTTGGTTGGCATTAATATATGGCTGAATATAATCCATAGCTGATTTAAATTCATCAGGTTCACATGCAGGACAATTCTCTAATAGTTTGTTATCTGCTTCAATTGATTCAAGGAGTTCACTAGTGTTATTGTAACGTCTTTCGGATTCAATCATTTGCCCAATAGAATCATGATCGTCAAAGTTCACAGGTAAACCATAAATGCCTAAACCCAAGGACGCCATATAGTCAGTGCCAATGCTGAGGTGATATATATCTTCATCAGAATCGGTTAAATTCATAACTTCAAAAGTACGTTCAATGGTCTTATTATTACATGTTATGCTTAATACACATGTTCCAATTCTTTTAATATAACTTTCTTTGTCAAATGCTCTTATATAGTATTCATATTTATTTGTTTTCGTAATTAGATCTTTATGTATGTGATTAATGAAATTTATATTTATTTTATGAGTTAGACAAAAATTATAGTCTACAGAACTAATCGAGGCACCAGTGTCCAAAAGTGAATAAGTTCTAATAGAGTTATTTATAAGAATAGGAAATGTTATATCATTAGTTGGTTTATTTTAAAAATCTCTTGTTACACTATCTTTTTTAGGATAAGACTTACATGCAAGAGATAACGCCAGCAATCTTTTCTCATTCTCATCTTCTTCGTCGGAATTCAGATTGTCCGGGGTGTTGGGACCATGGTTTCTTCTTTTAGCCATGCGTGAAATTCTTTGCTTTTTTCTTTGTAAAAATTCTTCAGAACGATGACCACGATACCAAGGCTTATTACAGTATTTACATTGATTGACGTTATTGGGTGCCTTATTAGACTCAAAAGAATCTTTATTGACTGATCCCGCGTAGTTGGAATGACGTTTCAGAGAACGTTCATTTTCTTTGTTTTCACCAAAGCTGTCCATTAGGTAGATGTCCGAGTCGTTCGTAGCCGCAACAACAATGCCAATGATTGACTCAACGTTATCCGGGAGCTTTGTACCGTAGCGGGACGAGAGGGCAACAGAGGATGGTTTACGCACCGTTTCCAAAAGCGAGCACCAAAACGAAAGAACCAAAGGAAGACCATCTTCAAGACCTGCTTGTCTTCTAAGTTTTTGGAACTTGGCAGCATATTCTCGTACAGGCTCACCAGGGGACTGCTTCAGTTTCCAGACTTTAACCATCATTAAAAATTTACGATATGGTGTATCAAAGTGATCCATTAAAATGTTCTCAGCTTGACTCCAACTTAACTGTTTCTTCTTCAAGGCTTCAGCAAACCAGGATCTATCTTCCTTATTCATTGACATAGGGAGAAGACGTTCCCAGCTTTCATCCAACGAAAGACCATGAGCTTCCAGGACTGTCTTGAATTGCATACAAAAATCATATACGGACTCGAAAATTTCAGCATTTTTCTTCCAAATGACAGTGTCTGTTCTTAATTGCAGATAAGGGAGAGAATCAGGAACATAGGTGGCATTCTTGGATGGTGCTGGTTGATTGACCGAGAGGAAAACGAGATATGCATCGCGTGTAGCTATGAGTTCTGTCTCAACTTCTTTGTAGACTACAGAGGCTTCCTTAGTAGCGGATGAACTGGCATTCTCATTCTTACACTTGATCCAGTGGGCATAGGCAAAATTATACTTGCGTTGAACGATTTCCAGGTTTTCCTTGGCTGACTGAAGGATTTTCTTGCTGTCAATAGGATCCACTGCGTACTTGGATTTCATGGTGTCGTGATGAAGATTTTGAGGACCTTCCTCCATGACTACATCATCATCCTCAACAATAACCGAGTCAGCGTCTAAAGAGCGTGTTTCCGAGACCGAGAGAGGAGAGGAACCAGGAAGAGAGGAACCAGGAAGAGAGGGAGAGTTGTTTTGAGACATGTTCAACAAAATTCAAAGTAAAAAATGTGGTGTTTTGGGATAATAAAAATTCAGAACAAAAGGAAATAAAACAAAAGTAAGAATACTTTGAGACTGTTGATATGTTTTATTGTTTAAAAGAGAATTAGGGATTATCAAGGTCAAAGAATAAAGGATATATATAAGATGTCTGAATTTAAATTATAAAATTATTGCATAATGGAAGTACACTATTTTAGTGCGGTGTCTTCTTGCACTATTTTAGTTAAGGACTTGTAGAGACTAAAGAAGTGTATTTGCTTTATAAAGTAGTGATGCTGAGATATTAATATTTTAGTGTTAGATGTATGATGTAAGTGTATCTGATGTTATTTTTATTATGGTTCTTATCAAGAAGTAAGTCAGATCATCACAGTTCGGGGATCAGATTTACAGAGACGGATTATTAGTCATATTGAGTTGGGGACATCTTTGGGGTAGCTCGCATAGATACAGATAATTTCGGGGGTAGATGCAGAGGATAACATGGGCTGATATTATTAATGTTTTACAAGGGAGTTCAAAGGCAGAGGTACAAAGGAAACGGATGTTAAATGGGTTTTACAAGGACAAGGGATAACGGAGATACATTATTTGGGACCGAGACGTTAGACAGGATACAATAGTGATGTTTGACAGTGACATGTGTGACAGGAGACAGAGAACAGGGAACAGGTGGAACAGGGACAATGGTCTAGTTGGGTTTCAATAATAGTCTGAGACATTTTTCATGATAATATGCAACTGAAACCTAGGCGGTTCATGACACGAACTATATCCATGCTCTCGTACTTGGGTACGATTCATTTAAGAATAAATAAGCAAATCGTTTAAATAAATAAACTATGATGTGGTGACCTAGCAAGACTATAACCATATTAGAGCTAACAAAGGTTTATCCATGCTGATACCATTTGTGATATAAGCTTAACAATAAATGTCATAGTAAGAACTATAAGGATATTACATCACAAGTCTAATTTAGTACCTCTGAGAAATACTTAAAATTTAGTTTAAAGCAAAGAGAGTTAAGAAGACTTAAAATTTATTAGAACAAGACTAAATTAGTGAATGTTGTATACACAAATATCCCGAAGTGTATACAAGCACTATTCTGTGAGTTACTTTAGCGAAGAAACTCGAAATAGCTATTTTGTGTCACCTCACGTACACGCGGTTTACACGCAACATCTGCATTAACAAAGGATAAAAACAACTTATAAATACTACCACAGCTTACAATGGACGCATGGTCCACACATGCTTACTGCAATATGTTCACATTATAAATCATTCTCTCAGCCTGCTCTATTAACTGACAAGTGCCGAAAGGACTTTGTCAATTCCTATATAAACCATCCTCTAATTCAATAATAAAACGATATTCAATTTATCCAGTCTCACAATTACCTTTTTCTTTATCTTATAAACTGTCTATCTTGTTTGATAGAACAGTGACTATGTAATAATCGTATACATTTTTGGTTAATCAATGATAACTTCAAGATAGCACTAGAGATATGAACACAGCAGACAGTCTTTTATATAGATACTGGTATATTTCATTTATTAATAAAGGACAATCTTATGAACAGTCTCAAACTACTCCTATAGTCTTTATATAATTTTATTTTACCTTAAAACACAACAGTTTGATTTATAAAAAAGAAATAAAAAACAAAAGAATATTTTTAAAACTCTTCGGGCATATCGGGGTCATCATAGGAAGGCTTGGTTCTCTTTGTGCTGTAGCGGCCGCGCATGACGTGAACGGCGGTGACTTGTTATTAGCTCTAGATATTTGCTTCAGGTAAGAGATACTAGTTATATATACAGATGATCGATGCCTTTATTCGATATAGAGTGACATATATGTATTCGTTACAGATAATGTTAAGGACATATCAGTATTCTGTTACTGATTCTTCTTTTTCAAAATGAGATAGAGATATTCTTATCGACTTAGCTTTATTCTCTTAAGGATCGGGTGTAAGGTTACAGTGCTCTTATGCGGCATAGAGATCCGATACAGTAATTGACTATTCTTTATTCTCTAATAACGTATTTCTGATGAGATGCAGTTGTAACATGACAGATTTTAAAAAATCGAATAAGTATTTAGTTATAATAATTAAAGGCAAAAATTCTAGGCAAATAGACTGATTTAATCCATAAGATAATATATATGAAGTTATCATATATATTTAATGTGTAGATGGATACAGCTTTGGTAATAAGATGATCTATAAGTAAATCATAAATTAGGGGTTCGAATATTGGTATTCGTCATAGAACTAGAAAGTTGAGTTTCAAAGTTAGAAATATAAAATCATAAGCAGGTCTTATCTATAGATATTATGAGTATTGGAGATGGAAGTGTCATAGATAGTCTCTGATGCAAAGCTGATAATACATGAGCTGAATAGTACATCAGACTAATTTTTTTTTGAAAAAATGTAAGATAAATCCTAGAAGGATACATCTATAATAAATGGATTGACGGTATATATGGAAGGGGGATATGGGCTGGTGTTATCCTTATCACCCTCCAAGAATGAAATGATAATACATTAGATCTGTGACAGAAGACAGAAGTCAGAAGTCAAATGATTCGAAAGAATCTCGGGCATATCGGGGTCATCATAGGAAGGCTTGGTTCGGAGATTTTATCTCCCTCCTATTCATGACACCATATACACCTCGGGATTGACAATACAAATCTAAAGTGGACTTGTATTTCCTATTATCATTTCATCCATTATAGAGGAAATTAATAGCCGAAGCTTTATAATATTTGCTTTTTTAAAATTTTATTAGTATCAAGTTAGACATTATAATCTTATTAAAAATGAAAGTGTTTCACTAAAGATGTCTGAAGCTCCAATCTCAAGGTTTTCTGTATCAAGATATGTTAGTAATTCTACGAGAATCGACGCTGCTCCACTTGTAAGTAAAGTAACACTAAAGCCTCTAAATATGGATAATCTCAAGACAGTTCCTTACTCTGAATCATCATTCCATACAGATGCCAGATGTAAACTGCACCAGCAATGTAAGGGTCATCTACCAGTAAATGTTAATGGAATGATAGGTTTACCTCCTATTTGTGTGAATGATGACCTCATTACTATTGATGATAGAGGACGACTCAATAAGAAACTGTTAAAAGAAGATCTTAATGGTTACGTATTTTCTTCAGAGTTAAGAACAACTTTAATGGGAAAGAAAGGTATGTTACGATTTGAGGGAGCTGGTTCCCGACCTCTCACCACTGTTAGAGGAGTAGCGGTATGTAATTGGAATGTGAAGCCTCACGAAATACTTATGCCTCACACATGGCTCAAGTCTCTTAATATACCTATATTAAAAAGCAAGGATTCATTTACATCTCCATACTGGTCATTTAAGAATGCAATGGAAGGAGATAGAGCCTTATTAATGAGATGTCCATCTATTTTCGAAACATCTGTTATGGGCGTTACATTAAAAGGATGGTCAACTCCGGCCATAGGTATTCATCCATCTATGTGTGAGTACCTCAATCTCGATTTTGATGGAGATGAAGTTCATGTTGCCGTTATTGCTGATGATAAGTCGGTAAAGGAGGTTGATAGCCTAATTGAGATAAGAGCTGGTTTCGATAAATTTACTGATACTAACATAAGTACAATAATGTTAGAATGTAGAGTTCCTATAACTACTGATTTCATGTTGCCAAGCACGATTCCTTTAAGATATATCCTTCAAGGTGTAGACTTTATCTCCATTTCTAAGTATATGAAGTTATGTCGATGTAAGATTGAATTAAACGACTCTATTAGAGATCGATTGATAAAGCGATCCTATGTCAGAAAGTATGTAGAGACATCAAATAATAGTATCCATAATTTGACGGTCAGTCAAATGACTGTATGTAAGGGCTTTACATTCGGTAGACAATTGAAATGTATCTCTGTCGTGATCGAGGCTATATACTTAATATATGACTCTATCTACACTTCTTAAATCTTCCATTTGATAATCCTAAATATAATTCTTATTGATACTGTTATATTAAATACTGTTCATTTACTTTATGTACAGGCTTGATCTCATATCATCCTTCATACAAGTATAAGACATACATTTAAATAATAACATTGATATGAACACATATGAAGGTTACATCAGCCACATTGAGGTGCCACAGCTATCTGAATTAAGAACTACATTTTCCCCTGAATATTGTGCTACAAGACATACACAGTTTAAGAATGAATGTTATTGTTATTGTTATTGACATCTCATTATGGTCTTTCTATATGGGATCATTACATCCGAGTATTATCTGGATGAATCTACCCACTACCGTCATCAGCCCATCTGTGATCAATGTCTGAAATAATGTGTATATAAAGACCCCCTTTTATTTGTTTAATAAAGCCTTAGTTAATTTTTGCAAGTTTGATAATTCTCTTGTTTTTTATTTTATAAATCTACACCGATTTCCACAATCTCTGTACTTATAGATAATTCCTCTGATGCAGCTGTCCCATATTGGTCTAGAGAAAAGTTTTCAACTGAACAGGTATATATCAATAATGAGGGTAAAGGAAGGGAGTACGGATACCCTGCATGTAGAGTATTCACTAGAATAGCGAGTAACCATATGCAAAAAGCATTAGATGATGCAAAGCATACAGTCACCTCCACTGGTGAAGATGTAATGATAAGTCTTATGGATCCCACATCTCCTTCTAAGGAATTGAGATCATTCAAAGGCAAATTGTCCATTGTTAATGAAGGTGTAAGAAGTAGAGGAAAGAGAATAGGTACCACATCAAGAATTCAACTAGGTCTTATGAATAACCATGATTGCCTACAAAATTGCACTTTAATCGTAATAGCAGGCTGTAAAAGTATGGGAATTGATGTATCTGATAGTGCGTTAACACAATTGGTGTCAGTTATATATCATGCTGTACAGAGTGCACCTAACGCTGTACTTTCTGCAGAGCTACCTGTAAGATTCCTATCGGAAGTAAATAGTAATTATCTCACTGTTGCTCTAACTGAGAATATCATTACAGCTGATAGAGTGCTTACATACTCGTCAGATAAGATGTATTCTGTTATGGATTCTAAGGAAGCTTTATGTGCATTACTTTTGTGGAGAAACTTTGTTTAACACAGAAAAAAAATAGAATAAAAAACAGGTAAATAAGATTAATAGTGCTTGTAGGCTTTTATTCTTATTATTAGTTTTAAAACTGAATGACCTTGTACATTATAGTAGAAGGCAGGGTATTTATAGTTATTGGGATCTGTAGTTTAAACGGTTATCTAATAGTTAGTGAAGGTACCATTGGGTGGTATAATACATGTCCGATGGTGCCTTAAATTTAAGCAGTCATTGCCTTTATGATTGGATTGATTCGTAAACAATGATCTAGTCTTATTGTTCTGTCAGAATTGAGAGGACGATGTTTCTAAGAAATCTTAAGTCAAACTGAGTTCTAAAGTAGTAACTCAGTTTTTATACCTGATGTTCTTTTCTTTTGTGATATTGTATTTGGTATATGAGTCGACCATGTGGGATCGACGATTTATTTATTTTATTTTATTATTTATAAGTGCGATTTTAGCACAACTTTTAGGTAATTTTAAAGAAATAGATGATAGATCTATATCCAAATGATTACTCTACTACTTGCGATGTATCAATTAGCATGGTAATATTATGAACAGATCTCATCGATGAGTAAATTAGCTCTTTAAAATTACTTACAACATCTTCAACTATCTCAACAGATCCGAGAATTGATATTTCACCATTCTGAGAAAGCGTAAGATGAGTGCAATTTCTGTTAAATTTATTCCATTGATAGACACTGAGAGATCCATCACCTCTAGTTAAAAGATCTCTCATTTTGCCATGGCTATAGAATAAATTTAGAGTTTCAGATGTTGGTCTACATGTGTAAAGTTTATCCTTATACTTTAAAGTAAATAACAACGAGGAATGAGACATATTTATAAATATAGGCTTAAATTCAATGTTATCAGCTTCCATGATCTGAGTTACAGTTGGAATGAGTCTTCCAACAGCTCTACCTGATGTACTAAATCTAAATGCACTAGCCTTGTTACTTCTAGATGTCGACTGAGATACAATATCTATATGAGATATCCATTGAGATACAAGTCCTACCAAATCCTTATCATATTCTACTGACATGGTAGCAATATCTGGTTGCATTACAGTAATAGTAATAGAACATATATCCTTAAGCGTCCAGCATCCTAATTTCACGTACTGTCTAAAGCCAGAATCTAAATTCTCAGGCATCTTGATGATATCTAATCCACTGAGAAACGATACTCTTGTTTCTAATTCGATACGTGAACAAGGACTGGGTGAGGCCCAGATAGATGCACGGACGAGGTTCAAGAATTTATCAGGTAGAATTCCTTGAAAAGGTCTCACTTGAGGTTTAAGTATCCATTCTTTAAAAATAATCGATGTTGATTCCACGTCATTCCGAACCATTTCACTACATTTTCCAACCTTAGGTTTTATCTGTCTACTTTTACCTTTATCTAATACAGAACCTTTTGATGCTGAAATATTAGATCCAGTCACTGAAGAGAGAGAAGAAAGCTTTGTATCCCAACGCATTTGAAAATTAAGGTCTTAAATGCGAAAGGGCTATAATGGGAATATTTTGGATGAAAGCATTAAATCATTTTCATTGTGATCACTTGTTTACTGCTACCTTAGGAATAAATTCTAGTGATCAAAGAATGGCATTAGATAGATCATACTATTGTACGAAGTTCATGCAAGCATTTTGTAGACTCAATCGTCCCCAAGTGGACTACTGTTATGATCCCATAGCAGGACTTAACTTGATGATTTTTAGATGTTTTGATTACATAAAAACTATTGCTAAATATGATGTTGAAGATCTAACATTTTCGAAAGATTTTAGTATGTATAGGTCAGATATAGAAGACTACTGCCCGCATCTTATTATACCTACCTATACTTCCGCTTGCTCAGTTCATATTTTGAATAGAATGTATGATATATAGTGTTCGAACTTTTCGAGCTTGCACCGATCTTGCGCCAGTTCGAACGAAGCTCGAACCGAGTTTTTGTACTCGAGCTTGCGCCACTTTTTTTGGGTTCGAGCGAGCTTCGATCGATGCTCGCTCGGCTAAAATGTCGATAGTAGTCACTTTAAAGTTAAGGTCCTTGAAAGACTACAGATGGCATTTCCCCTTGATTTTAATCTTTTCTTCCCTTTATCATTTTTTTTTATTTATGGTCTAATAATTCCAATTAAAATGCTTTGGCCTTTATTTAATTGTACAACCAACAAACACATTTACCATAGAAAATGAAACAGTGTTGCACACTATACCCAACTAAGCCAATTTTTTTACAGCAACCATAGTAACATGACGTAGCAGAATTAATAAAAACTTTTATGTTCACAAATCCAAATGTATTATAATTATAGATGCAGTAATAGTTTGATTAATTACCCGAACTTGGTGTTAAGGCTGGTGAAAAAAAAAGTTTTCTTTTTCTTTTTCCAACTTCTATTTCAATAAATAACAATTTTATTATCATAATTTTCTGTAATTAACATCACTTTGACGTGCACTTTGTGTAATAAAAAGGGCGAGCGAGTTCGAGCTATCGTATTCGCAACCGAGCCGAGCTTAAGAAACTTCGAGCGAGCTCGAGCTGCAAAAAAACGCATCCGAGCGAGCTTCGACTGGAACACGATCGAAGCTCGCTCGAGAGTTTCGATCTTCATTCCGAACACTAATGATATATCATCTAAATCATTTCCTACAGAGGTAGGGTTACTCGAAAATGTAATTAACGATGTACTCGAAAATGTAGATATTATGATACTACCTATTGCTGATTCTGAGCTAGATACTGGTTTAGTAGTATCTCTTTTAAAGAAATCTGTAATAAGTATGGGTATAGCGTTAGGCCAAACTATTAATGTATACATGTTCATAGTATCTAATAAGAATATACTCCCAGACTCTGGATCTATCTCTTCTGTTCAGTTCTTGAGAGCTGCAACCATATGGTATGACACTCGCGTTAGGACTACTTTTGGCTCACTTGTAAGATGTAGGGATTGTGAACTTATTGTAAGTAAAGGGTTAAAACTTATGAATATAGAGAACTAATTTCATTTAATAATTATTAAAATGGAATATATTAAATATCAAATGGAAGAGCTCATTGAAACTATGTCTAACTACTGCATTATGAAGGCAGTGAGTACATCTGCCGAAGTGATAGATGATAGTATATGTTACTACGATAAGCGTGTCATGGAAGAACGTTTAATGGATTGCGGATCTGATGTAGCTTTTGAGTGTAACAAATCGATGGTGTATAAAATTCCTTTCCCTGAAAATGTCTCTATTTTTGATATGATTATTTTTATGATATCATCTAAAGGGTACTCTGTAAACCCATTTACTTTTAGGTGGAAGAATTCTACTACCGATACATACAGAGTGTTTGTCAGGAACGAGGGAGGAACGAGACAGGCAGGACAGGACAGAGAATGAATAGCTTCTTGAAGCAGGTTATTTATTTAAGAATAAAAGGGAGAAAAGAGAAGATGATTATGAAATATATCTGATAAAGAAAACTGGGAGAAGTGAAATTTATCAGCTATATTTATAGAGAAAGGAAAACAAGAAATTAAATAAAAGAATAAGCAATGACAAAAGTTAGTCATAGCTTATGTGGATCATGACAAAGGATTTAAAGAGCTGACAGATCAATGATGAATATTGAGTCTGAAAGCTGGTTACTCATATTGCATATTTGGGGCATAAAATGTAACAGGATCATGACAGTGTTATGGACTCTTATATGCAGATTATCGAAGCAATTTATGGAGACTACAAGAATGCAAATATACGTCGGAAATAGAAGCGATACTGGTTACATTAATACTATAGAATCTAAGTATCACATGGGTGATCGTGGAGGTAGAGCTTACATGAATGATATGAATACCATTCCTATATCAAGAGTTTTAGATGTTCTACCTCAACTATCCATTGATTTAGATGACCTTTGCGATAATATGCAAGTCTTGCTAGACATAGATCCAACATGTAATATTTACGAGGATTCTGAAGATAGAACTGAATTATTAGATAAATACGTTAGTTATGATACATCGGCAGAAATTTATCCATCATATTGTAATGTAAAGATAGAAGTACACATAAAAGATGTCTAATATCACACATAAATTTTTTAAAAAATAAATGTCCTTATTACATGATCTAGTATTTGGGGATAAGTCTGATACATCAATTCCAAAGTCTAGTACATCTTCACATAAGGATCCTGTTGGAGTAGGACTTACAGATGAAGAGATAGGTAACTTTGATAAAAGTGAAGAGATGTCTGTTAAAGAGATGGTTACTCAGATATTTTTGAAAGTTAACTCCACTGCCCATAAAGTTGATGCTATGGCTAATAAGATGGTACTTATGGGTAGAAAGATTGACAGACTTTATACATTAGTAGGATCAAGAGATAAAGTCGCAAGACCATCTTTTGAATCATCTACGCAAGGAAATGATCATTATAGGTCTCATGATAACCTTCAAAATAACGTAAATCTAGGATATGATGCACAAAACTATGATGATGAAGGAGATCAATCTAATGATTTTGGTTTGATACCTAATGAAAATTTATTGAATCATAATACCTATGATATAAAAAGTAACACTCAAAATTTTAATAGTAGTATTTCAACTAATACAAGATCAATTGCGCCTAATATTGACAAGATTAATATGTCCTATGTGGTGACCTAGCAAGGCTATAGCCATATTAGAGCTAACAAAGGTTTATCCATGCTGATACCATTTGTGATATAAGCTTAACAATAAATGTCATAGTAAGAACTATAAGGATATTACATCACAAGTCTAATTTAGTACGTCTGAGAAATACTTAAAATTTAGTTTAAAGCAAAGAGAGTTAAGAAGACTTAACATTTATTAGAACAAGACTAAATTAGTGACTATGTAATAATCGTATACATTTTTGGTTAATCAATGATAACTTCAAGATAGCACTAGAGATATGAACACAGCAGACAGTCTTTTATATAAATACTCGTATATTTCATTTATTAATAAAGGACAATCTTATAAACAGTCTCAAACTACTCCTATAGTCTTTTTATAATTTTACTTTACCTTAAAACACAACACATGAAATTAAAACAACCAGTCGTTTTTAGGTAAGAATAATTAAGCAAATCGTTTAAATAAATAAACTATGAAATTAAAACAACCTTTTATGTTTCATATCAGCATACGCTTGTATACTGCTATACAACTTCTCCTACTTCGAGTACATACTTCTATATTAAAGATTGCATGATTGGCCTAAATACGATATACGAATGACAGTTGGATACAGAATGCTATACCACTGAGTTACGATATCACCGATTGAGAAGAGAAGCTTCTCAGATTAAATCAAGTATTATAAGAAAGACAAACTTAATATTAATAGTTCCCTCAATGGATTAGCTACCAAGAGAGAGAATAGAACAGCTATTAATATAAATGGTTCATTTACTTATATATTGATATAATTATACTGCTGATAAGGAGTATAAAGAAATATTGTATGAGTTAATGGATATCTATCTTCTACAACCAAATATACAAATAACGATAAGACATTTTATATTTTGGATCGTAATTTATTCATTACAAAGATAATGAATAAATGATCAACGATTATATTCTATTGCCAATTACACTTAACAAACAAGAATGCATCTTTTACAGTAACCGTTGCATGATCTGATAAATAAGTGTCTCGTAATATTAAAGATTTATTGGAATACTCATGCTCCCGATCCACTGATATGGGACAACGTTAACTGGAAACAATTCTAACGAGTAGTATCCATTTAATCCAAGGCGGGAAACAAAGTATAGATCTATTCCAAAACCAGAAAGGTTGATTCATCATTAAAACTCAGGAGAGTTGTGCAATATAAAAAGGATCACTTTATTCATAGCAGCAGAGTTTTTTTAGTCTATTTTTACCCTAATAAAAATATTCGTTTTATCTCGTTATTTTTTGCGTGATATTTTATCAAATATCACAACGACAAACACCATACAAAAAAAGTGGATAAAGTGACGTAACATAAATCATTTCTAATAGTTAAACTACTTAAGGAAAAGTAAGATATAGAATATAGAAAGTCTTTATTGAATAAATGTTATATGTATTTATATTGTTCATAATTGTTAAAAGGCATAGGTTAGGATACAATAGCATAGATAGAGTTCGTCATAGTAATTCGCATAGATGGTGTATTGGATTAGGAAATTAGGTTACACAATTACAAATATCCATAGTAGATACGGATATGGTGGAACCAGATCAGCTCTATCAATCAGGTCCACTGTCTTTGACATAACACTAATAATCAATATCTACAGATAATGTTCTTAACCAATATAATAGCTATTCTTATCATACAATTATTTAGTATAAATACCTTTGATATTTTTCCCAATTATGAATGGATCATACTGATATTAATTTTGAATAAAAGAGTTTTAGAAGTATTCTTTTGTTTTTTATTTCTTTTTTATAAATCAAACTACCCTTGATTTATTACAGATGGCATATAATAATATAATCGGGGAAATAATCATATGGCGATTGTAGATGATATTTGAATTACCAGAAACGTGACATACTAAGGGTAACATTTTTATAATAATTAAACGGTTAAGAAAAATAAAGTTGAATGCGGATTGATATTTATTGATATAGAAAGGCATAATATGTAGTTTTTATCATGGAGGTAAAAGGGCATACGCCCAGCATTCATGTACTCGATTAAGTGATTGTAATAAGTAATTTTTGTCAGGCCAAAAGTCTAACTATTCAACACATTCACAATTGTTATTAATGCTCCACAGTTCTCTTCTCATTCCTTTGTTTGTTCGTTCGTATCTGCTGCTGATCTACTCGTTCGTCTTGCTCGTTCGTATTTCTCGTTTGTACCTGCTGCTGATCTACTCGTTCGTCTTGCTCGTTCGTATTTCTCGTTTGTACCTGCTGCTGATCCACTCGTGTGTCTCGTTCGTTTGTCTCATTCGTTGGTACCTGCTGCTGATCTACGCGTTCGTCTCGTCTCGTCTCGTCTCGTTTCGTTTCGTCTCGTCTCGTCTCGTCTCAATTCGTCTCGTTACGTCTCGTTTCGTCTCGTCACGTCTCGTCACGTCTCGTTTCGTCTCGTTTCGTCACGTCTCGTTTCGTCTCGTTTTGTCTCGTCTCGTCTCGTCTCGTTTCGTCTCGTTTCGTTTCGTCTCGTCTCGTCTCGTTTCGTCTCGTTTCGTCTCGTTTCGTCACGTCTCGTTTCGTCTCGTTTTGTCTCGTCTCGTCTCGTCACATCTCGTCTCGTCTCGTCTCGTCTCGTCTCGTCTCGTCTCGTCTCGTCACGTCTCGTCTCGTCTCGTTTCGTCTCGTTTCGTCTCGTCACGTCACGTCTCGTCTCGTCTCGTCTCGTTTCGTCTCGTTTCGTCTCGTTTCGTCTCGTTTCGTCTCGTTTCGTCTCGTTTCGTCTCGTTTCGTCTCGTTTCGTCTCGTTTCGTCTCGTTTCGTCTCGTTTCGTCTCGTTTCGTCTGGATTTCGTCTTGTTTCGTCTCGTTTAGGTGTCGTTTGGCCTCGTTTCGTCTCGTTTCGTTCTTACATGCCTATTTGCTGTTCTACTCTTCACGTCATGCCGATCTAATAATGGACCAATGAGAACCTCGCGCTTTTTCAACATGCCCGTAAGCAGGAAGGGGATTGAAACTTTGGTGATACCAAAAAGGATACACTGTAAGTTTGCTGGCTAGATAGAAGTGCTTACCTTGTTTGCTGGATTATTGCAGGAAAAAGAAGGAAATTGAGGGATGGCAGAAAATATACCCTTTTTATACTACACTGATGATTTTCTGTTTTGTGACTTGTTTTGCTGCGCACTGACTTTAAATTTTTTCGAATGTCACGGAAAAATAGAGCAAAAAATGCACAGCAAAAAAAGCACAGCAAAAAAAGCGCCAAAAAAAGAGAAGAGAGGAAAAGAAAGTGAGAAAGAACATTAAAGGCCTTGTCGAATTTGACATTAGGGAACACTAAAATAATAAAAGGTCACCTCCGACACTTGTACAACTCAGCAACATTATGCAAAATGTCAATCATTGCTACAATTCTTACAATAAAAGAGACTTTATTTTCTAATGGGTTTCCTTGGGAGGATTTTTTTTTCACTACGGCTTTAACTATGGCAATATTGTTGGTTTTTTATGAAGTTGCAATAAACAACTACGGTGCAGAAAGTAAAGCATAGTTTTATGAATTTTACTCCCAGAAGAGCGGGACTTTCAAATTATATAGTCAGGTTTTACATTAACATTAAAGGACTTGACATCCATAAAGCACAGAAATGCACCACCATGCTTTCTTATATGGTTCTGACTAACGACACGTTCAGCTGTATCTTCGGTTTGGCTTGTTTTAAGTCAGGTACATGAAAGAGGTAGAGAGGCATAATGACATGAAATGATCGGGTCAATCTGCTAGCTTAATTTAAGCTCATTTTGTCTTTTTGAGATGTGTAACCTGTCCTGTGCTCTTATGTACTCAGTTATAATTTTGATTTTGAAACACGCCTGAGACTTTTATGACTCAAAGATCATTACCAGATGTCGTTACTCATACATTTCTTTTTCTTCACAATTGCTATTCATCTTGCCCAATTGCCTTTTTTAGCTCCATAAAAACGCCTCGCGTCAGTCTTAACGTCGTTGTAATTAGTCTTGTATTTGCTGAAATGTATTGTTTACGTGAAACAGCCTTGCCTCTGCTAACCTTCAAGTCGACACCAGCACCCCCAGCATCACCATTTGAGGGTAATGTCACGAGAATGTTCAAAGATGCCGTTGATTACTGCAAAGTGACCTTTGATGCTCTCCTCGACGTCCATTGCTCTTCATGTAACTTGTCTCTGTTATAGGTATACTGGTCATCATAGAAGACGTCGATCTAACAGCAACAACAAAAAAAGCAACAATATATCGACACAGACGAAACTCCAAACCTTTTGGACGACGCCATGCAATCAGCTTCGCAAATTAAAAGCGAGAATGAAAACAATGAGGAAGCCATGGAGCTTAACGGAGAAGAATGTAGCATCGGTATTGAACAATGTCTTTCTCAACTTGACACAAGCTATTATTATATGAACCCTTCTCTTCTTGTTTTTTTCTGGGGTGTGAGAAACTCCCATCCTGTTCTTTGGTCGTCTTTTGCCGTGCGATCACAATTAAACTGTATTAATTCCAGCTATCAATCACCTTGCATGACAACCAATCCCTCTTGGATTGACTTGGACTGGCCTGAATACTGTGCTTGGATTATGCTTATGATTATCATGACGGTTGTCAACCGCTAAGACAAGAGAATTTACTGGAAGAATAGTAGTAGTTCACGTTGATTTTACTGATTTAATGGAAAAGGATTGTTTTAATGATATATCCAAATTTCATGTGTTTGTTTTCCCTAAAGAGGAACTTTAAGTCGTCAAAAGCAACACATTCCTTTCGTAAATATGTGGCATACATTGACTATATATAACAAACGACTAAATTTTCTGCTATAGGGCAAATACAGATTCTTTGTACCAACCTCGATCCTTTCAGGAAAGCCTTCAACAACCGAATGGCTGAAACAGTACGTTTTAGATGACATACATGTGTTGATGAGTCAAAGGATAAGTGGCTCAAAAATAGGATGACGAAGGTACCCCGGAAATCACATCTAACTGGTCGTATGAGACAATTGCGTATAATGTCACTTATATTATCATGCGCGTGGATTAATGTGGCGATCTTCTCCAACGGTAGACAGATTTATTATAGTAACTATGAGGCGATCAATTGGTACTTGCTTTCACTTCAAAAGGGTTATCATCACAGACATCTTTGTCTATTTCGCCAGGAATGGATCGAAAGCTTATGAACGTTGAAATATATTTCATCATGCAAGTGTAGAGAGGGATCTATTTGCTCAAAGGTATGCCAACAACGGACACATTCTAATTGCATGGGTCCAAACATAGTAGTAGTTTGTTGACAAAGTCAGCAATATCAAGCGAACAACTGTTCTTCGGCGCCTTCTGTGAACTGAAGATAAATGCGTTCGTGCCAAGCTGTGGCACGACAACCAACGGAAATAGTCGATGTTTTGTGAATTCCGATGTAAATAATTAGTGGAAATCCCACGTCCAAATGTGTTTGATGAATACGAAACTAACAAAAGTAGTTATAGAACAGTTTGGAGAAAAGAAAAGGATTTTAGCCCCTTTTTTTTTTTTTTTTTTTTTTGTAGGCTCTTTTGATACATCCAACAATCGCCGTGATAATGTGATAGATTTCTACAATTTCATGTGCGACTATATCTGGAACGTCGTTGTATACCTCTTTTTGAGGTAGTGGTAGTAACAGAGCACAGTGGCGGACTGTGGGGTAAAAACCCTCAACATATGGTAAATACGCGCAACATTAAGTGGTAAAAACATCCATTTTATACCACCTAATGTTGCGGGTTTTTACCACTTAATGTTGCGGGTTCCTTCTGCATGTTGTGTACTAATACCACATCTGGTAGCTACTAAATTCCATTTGATGCGTCTTTTTACCACAATATAGCGTCCTTTCACTCAAAACATAGTACGTACGTTATTACATCACTTTTAACTATATTATCATTGATGCTGTTGGACCTTTATACTGTTGTGCAATTAAAAGTTGCGTTATATGATAAAAAAGCAGGGTTTGCATGGAAACGGTTTTTATTTTATTCAGTTTTTATTTTGTATTTTGCTTTATTTATTATAATGTATGTACGTATCATCTCCAAATTGAAAATGTACACTTACCTCCGTAATACTTCTTGCACTTACTAATAACGGGCCCAGTTAGCACCATACTAGCCAAACAGCCGCCTATGTATACAGGTAATACATAGACCAAATCATTTTATCAGCCTAAAAGAAACATTTTGCAGCCTGAAGAAAAAAATATAGCCTAGTAGAAAATATTTCTTAGCCTAACCTGCTGTTCAAGCCCAAAGACGGCTCGACATCTATATAACTCTTTAGAAAAACCGCATTGGAAATTCAAATGATAATTGCCTTCAGCATATGACAAATGTGTACACACAAATTCTTGGTACTTTAAAGTGTAATGACATAAGAATAAAAATTTGTATTTCATATGTCATATTTACCTAGTTTGTATATTTTAACGGTATCTATTACTTAAATAACAGCACTTACAACACGAAGCGGAATTTCGGGCTGCCTTAAAAAAAAGTTATGTGAAAAAAAAGGGAGAAAAACTAAGTGAACAAATTTATTAATCTATAGCAAATTATTTAAAGTGCGAATTACGCTAAAACATCTTTTACGGTGGCGGATTGTAACACTTTTTTGTAGAAGCACATCATCCATTTTTCTACGGATTTGCTCCTTATTGGTCAAAGAAGAGTTATATTCTTCTGTTAAAGCTTGTTTGCCTTAAATTAACTATACTCATAAGGTTAATCATTATCTTGCAGGTCCTTTGCTGATTTGTAAGTTGGTCGTATCTTTCTCTGTGATGCGTTGACAAGTTTATAATAATTAAATTATTTTCAACGATTCATCTAATGGCAGTGCTTGTAAAAGAAAAAAAATTATAAATAGGAAGGGAGGGAAAAATAAAAATAAATTTATATAAAAAATTATATGCCGATGGTTGTGTATTATATCCACCATGCTGCGGGTTTCCGCTACCGAGTCCACGGCTGTGCAATCTTTAATATAGAAGTATGTACTTGTAGTAGGAGAAGCTGTATAGCATTATACAAGCGTATGCTGATATGCAACAGGAAAGGTTGTTTTAATTTCATATTTTATTTATTTAAACGATTTGCTTAATTATTATTAAGTGAATCGTACCCAAATACGACAGATATCTTGTCTGATTATCTTTTACATTTGTCTGAAAATAATTTGCATTTGTCTGAATTGAAAGTAATACAGTAGTCGCTCGATTTAAGGGTGTGTGGAAATCGGTGTAGATTTATAAAATAACTAAAAAACAAGAAAATTATCAAACTTGCAAAAATTAACTAAGGCTTTATTAAACAAATAAAAGGGGGTCTTTATATACACATTATTTCAGACATTGATCACAGATGGGCTGATGACGGTAGTGGGTAGATTCATCCAGATAATACTCGGATGTAATGATCCCATATAGAAAGACCATAATGAGATGTCAATAACAATAACAATAACATTCATTCTTAAACTGTGTATGTCTTGTAGCACAATATTCAGGGGAAAATGTAGTTCTTAATTCAGATAGCTGTGGCACCTCAATGTGGCTGATGTAACCTTCATATGTGTTCATATCAATGTTATTATTTAAATGTATGTCTTATACTTGTATGAAGGATGATATGAGATCAAGCCTGTACATAAAGTAAATGATCAGTATTTAATATAACAGTATCAATAAGAATTATATTTAGGATTATCAAATGGAAGATTTAAGAAGTGTAGATAGAGTCATATATTAAGTATATAGCCTCGATCACGACAGGGTGTTCGATTTAAGGGTATTTTCTATTTAAGGGTGAGATTTCCGAAATTTTTGGTCACCCTTAAATCGAGCGACTACTGTAACACTGTAATGTTGGCCGGGAATTCAGTCTCTGAACTAGTGGTGTAGAAAAGAGACGGACTGAATGAGTTTTTAGGCGGGCGCTTGTATTGTGATGTGCTCTCTGTAAAATCACAAGGAGGATTACTTGACTGTTAAAATCCGATCTCTGATGTTTGTCTTAGTTTGGTCCTCTAACTATAAAACTGGTTAGCAGCGCTTTATTCTGAAAAGGCTAATAACGACCAAAAATGTTAAGACGGAAAGAACTTGGGATTTATTACTGTGCTGAATTTTACTAATAAACTCAATACTGTCGCACAAGGCACCCTATTAACCCAGTTTCGCCATTTTCTTTTTTATGCAAAAACTTTATCCTGTAGGAGACTTGAAGTGAGCAATAGGATAATGGTTATCAAAGTTAAGCTCTAAAAGAGTTCTTTGACTTTAATTATTACTACTGGCCTTTGCCATTTAGAACTAATTCCAAGCCTTTTGCCATGTTTTTGGTTTAAAAATTTCCAAGCTGGCTTTTGAACAAGTAGCACAAAGTAAGTAGTCAAACTGGACTTTGACTCTAGAGCATTATAATAACAAGCATGATGCAAGAGCAAAGGGCCAGCTCTTTTTGGTAGATTTTGGGCACAGATTTTTTTTTATCTAATGGCAGCCTTTGGATCCATTAGACCAATTGATGACGTCAAAATGTTTGGTTTATTTCCCACCTACGCCCTTTTTTTACGTTTTCTTTATGCACAGTTTCGAGTAAAGGCTGTTGTTAGATGGCTCTAGCATGTACGTCTTGCCCGTTTGTGTACCGGCTCTAACTCTACCCAACGTCTATGCTCTAGGCAGACGTGGTTATCTTCTGGTTTTTACACGTTAGTACTTTTAAAAACTTTAGATGTGTTGATGTCAACAAGCTAATTCTTTTTCTTTTTTATGTAGCTTATACGAGGTAGTTCGTGTAGGCTTACGTGCCAAAGTATTTGGTACCGATTATTTGGCATGTTCTCATACCGCGGCAGAGATGCAACTGGTGTTTTCAAAAAACCTGACATGGCACGGGGAGCATCAAAAGACACCCTAAAACTGCTTAGACAGACCTTCTTATGAATCCTAGTTTATCGTTTGTCCTCCCTAGTTGGGGGACCTCATCTATGAAAGGTCTGAAAGCACTAAAAACGGGTGAGTGCAGACAGAGACGGACTTCCACACAGTTGCACTTTAGCATTTTGCATTTTTTTTATTTTTTATTTTTTTATATATGAATCTTTAGTTCTTCATGGTGCGTTTAGACTTGATGTCGACTCTCTTTGAATAATAGAGACCTGCATTAAACACTACTTTCAATAACTCATTACTTCTTCAATTTTTTTTTTTTTTTTTGCCTAATATGTTTGTTTACGATGGTATATATGTCTTTAATGGTATTAAGGCACACCTAATCTGTTATAAACAAACATAAAAGTTACTTCCAGAAGCCGTGAAAATTCAAAAGTCTAAAACGGAACTTTAATGGTTTTGGTACACAAATGTACCTGAGTGTTAGTACTACATCAAAAAAAAAAAAGATGACAGACATGATATCACAGTGCATTTTATATTTTATTTTTTTATTAGTACGTCATGCGCTTATAATTTTAACAGCAACCACCGTTATGTTGTTGCTGTTGATTATTCGTATTTAAGTGAAGTGTATCGTCTTCATTTGCTACATTATCAGCATTTTCTTCTTCCAATTTTAAGATGGATGAGATCAAATGACGAGTGGCTTCCTCGATATTATTATTATCTTTAGCAGACGTTTCAAACCATTGCAAAAATCCATTTTCTTTACAAAATTGATCGAGTTCCGTAGGATTGGCGTGTTGACCATGTCCATCTGCAATCAAATCGGTCTATTTTACGTTTATTAGCCTATTTATAATTTCAACAACAATGTAAAAAAAAAATTACCTTGTTGGCCAATAAAATAACAGGAATTTGACCTCCTCCCCAAGCTTCCGGTAATGCAACTTTTGTATCAATGTCCTTTTTCCATTTTGTAACGCCTTCAAACGTCTGTGGTCTTGTAATATCATAAACAACAATAGCACCTAAGGCCTCTTTATAATACACACGTGTCATATTGCCGAACCGCTCTTGACCTGCAATATCCCATAGTTGAAGTCGAACGATAATATCGGGTCCCCATTGAATCACTTTTAAAGCAAAATCAACACCAATCTGTATTTAGTGATTAGATTGCGCTAAAAGGGACAAAGAAAACCGACTACTTACGGTTGACTTGTAATTACTGGAAAATATATTGTGGACGTAACGACGAATGATTGAGGTTTTGCCTGTGCCAAGATCACCTACAACAAGGATTTTATAAAGGTATTCTCTCATCTCTGCCTATATACAAAAAAGTCAATTCTATTGTAGTCTTTATTATTTCTAACGTATATACCATTGTGAGTTTTTAACAAGAAAGAGAAAAAGAGGGGGGAAAAGGGCAGAAGTGTTAATGTAACTGAAAGAAAAAAGAAAAAAGGAAAGAAAAAAAAAAAAAGAGTGGAGTAACAAAATAAATAAATAAGGTTTAAGCATACTTTGTAACAGCTCCAACAACGTATGATATGCGACCCCACACACGCTGAATCATTTCGTTCGCCTACATATACATATAAAAAAAAGGGTGTTAGATGATGATTTATGATGATGACAATGTTTCCCTTTCTTACCAAAGTCTTCTTCATGACGCCTAATCTTGAACCTGGTGATATTTTAAAGTTAATGTCATGTTTCAAAAAAATGAATGATAATGAATATAGTTTACTAACCTATGCCTAAACCGATATTTCGAAGTTCAGCAGCCATTTCCAGTACCAATTTCTAATTTTGATTGTTAGTTATTTTTGATTGTCATAAGAACGTTATAATGAAAAAAAAAAACCTTGTCACGTTTAATTTCATCATCATCGATACCAATGGCCGCATCCAACATGGCAACACGTATACAGACTTCTTCATAATCAATATCATCTCTATTAAGGAAGAATCCTTGTGGATGATGAAAGATCTGCGAGATCTGTTGAATGATTGTCTGATCGGCCAAGATATAATCTACGCTACCGGGCACTTCTACTTCCAGGCACCGTTCCAAACATGTCACACCAATCACCCTTCTCAAATAACGTGATCGTTCATAGTTCGTCTTGACTGAATCCAGCAAGTGCACCTGTCGTTTGGTCGATGGCACGATATCACATATATCATTGGCAATTGTCTTAATTTCCGTCTCCCAGTTCGTCTCTCGCATAGCGGATAAGCAGTTATCGATCGCTGTCTGAATTTCTTGTATCACCAAGTATCCCGTCTTATCAAGCGATAGTTGCAGCAGGAGTCGAATCGTATGTCGGATTTCGTACGATGTATAGGCTTTGGACCATAATCGCACAGAGAAACTGAACGCTTTTATCATCCATCCCAGCTGAGATAATGGAATATATCGACTGGCCTCCGAATTCTCGTTCGCCTCTTTATCATCCTCTGTCTTACTTACTTCGGATTTATCTGGTGGTGCTGATACTCCTTCTACTAACTGGGAAGGGATGGCGCTATATGCTGTCAACACCCCTTTAAATGTTTCTAGTGTAATATAACGTTGTTTATAAATGTGCGGTAATTTCGTTTCCACTTTGGCACCAGGTAAAGACCACAATGAAAATAAAGTGGATAATGCATTTTTGGATGCCATCTTGTCCAACTCTAATCCAACTAACAATAGAAAAAAAAGATAAATATCCATCCACAAGTATATTTGTGTTTGAGTCGTTATTTACCAACTTCAAAAAGCCACTGATAGACATAGTTGGGACAGATCCATCCACTACGATGCCAATCCTTCATACATCCTGATGACAATAAGTACGATCTACCTTTGGAACCTGTATAAGAGTATGTGAGCTTTATTCTTTTTTTTTTTTTTATGCACCGGATAAGACTTACTAGCAGATAGCTCTGAAATGTGGATTTCCTTTTGACCGATTCCTAATTCTCTTGAAACCAATGCGGGCTGTCTTATATGCTATTAGACAACAAGAGGGGTTACTTATTTTTCGCAGCATGTAATAAGAGGATATATACCTTGGTGCCTAGTTTAAAGAATTCTTGGTTCCAACAGTCCTGTGATTCAACTACTTCAACGTTTTTGCTTTCGTCAATGGCAGTTTGAATATTCTCTTGAGCTTCTTCGTCCAGATAAAGTTTGGCTGCGTTTAACATGGTGGATTCCTCTTCGTCTGAACTATGATCTGAGTCGAGCATGTAATCGTCGTCAAATTTGATCTTTTCAACAGTTGGTGCTACTCGTTCTTCCTTGGTCTTTTTTGAAGTGCCGTAATGACCTTCTTTCTCTAATTCTTGTCTTGATTGATTCAATTTGTCAAACAGCTAATAATAATTGTCAGTTCCTGCGTGTGTAAAAAGGATCTCGATAGAATAAATACATACCATGTTGATCGTTTTAACATTTTCCTTTCGTTCAACTCGTCTTTTCTTGATCTGTTGAAACTGATCTACAAATCTATTCTCTTGTTCCTCATCCGTTTCTTCTCTTTGCTTCAACTTCTTTCTTCTGGCAGGTCTTTTTAAAACGTTACTCATTTTGTTTATTTAGGAGAGAAAGAAACGCACGCCAAAAATAAAAAAAAGTGAAACCTCAAAAAAAAAAGTGACGTTGCAAATCAATGTGCCCGACACATTTCAAAGCAGCTTATAATTCCCTAAAGACATTTTTTTTTTTCATTTCCCTTTCATCAAACAAACAAAAAAATCTCCCTCTAATAAAAAATGTCATTTTCATTTAGTAGAGATAGAATGGCGGAACTAAGAGGTTCTTCAGGAGCCACGGTAATTATTTTTATTTTAACCTTCCGTTGTTGTACAAACATTTTTGACATTTTTTTTTTTTTTTTTTTTTTTTACATGTAACAAATAGAGCAATGATAATTACAGTATGAGGTATGATATTAAAACAAACAATAAATGAATTAATCATTAATTATTATATAGTGATGATGAATTCGGTCACCCTAATCGAAGACCCATGGGAGCATACCCACAACCATCAGCCATGCAGACAACACCGCCGCCGCCACAACCCACGCATGAATATGCACCTGCCCACGAAACCTATGAAATGACTCCAACAGAACAACAACCACAGCAACAGCAAACACAGCAACAATATCAGTTACAGCAGCCACAACAACAAAAAGCGGATCTATCTACTACCAATGGCTTCTTTGATGAGGTATATATACATAAACAACAAGGGGGGGGGGTGGAGCGAGAATACTGAATATTTATTTAGATCGATCGCATAAAAAGCGACATTGACTCGGTTAATTACAACATTGATCAAATTGCAAACTTGCACAATAACGCACTCGCTAGTTTAAACGAACAACTATCTAAACAAACTGCAAGAGACCTTGAAAGAAAAAAGTCGGAAACACAACAAAAGAACATGTTTATAAAAACTCGTATTCAAGGTAAATTTTTTTCATGCTACACACCCTTATTAATTTATAAACTCATCCTTATGTGTAACTACCAATTATTTTACGTAGAACTTGAAAATGCAAATGCTCGGTTACCTAATGATGGAGATACTCAAATGCGTCGATCTCAGGTATATTTAAATTCATTTTCTTTCCCTTGGGTTATTTATTTATCACAATAGATAGACGGCGGCTTTAAGAAAAAGGTTTCTTGATACAATCCAGAGATATCAGGATGTAGAGCGTAATTATCAATTGAAATACCGTCAGCGTATTGAGCGTCAAATCAGAATTGGTAAGTTTGTTCTCATTTACCAAACTACATATACTCATCTTTTTATCATCAGTCAAACCGGATGCAAGCCAGGATGAAGTGGATGATATTATTGATTCAGATGATTCTCCTCAAGTATTCGCACAATCCGTACGTAAAAAACCATCAATATTTTGTACATGGATATACTGAAACCACTATATAATTTTTTATCATAGTTGATGAGTGCAGGGAGACAACATCAATCCAAAGCCGTGCTATCCGAAGTGCAGTCCAGACACATGGATATTAAGCATATTGAAAAAACCATCATTGAACTTCATCAGCTTTTTATGGATATGCAAATGATGGTAGAGCAACAAGGCGAGACACTAAATCAGGTGGAGCAACATGCAGAGACAACCCAAGCTGAATTGAAACAAGGAAACACCTATCTTACAAAAGCCATTGCTACCGCAAAGTCCACGCGTGCCGTAAGTCATTTTTCATATTTTTTTTTTTTTGTTTACGGAGAAAATCATTGTAGACTCACCTAGCTTTATGGTAGAAAAAATGGTGTTGTTTCTTTTTGTGTATAGGTATTTGTGTCATGATTGCAATTTTAGTATGGTGGTTCGCATTTGGACATGTTGTAAGTGTTTCTTCGGATTATATTGTACAAGTATATACTAATATTTTTTATAGGGTGCTGATGGAAGCACAGGTAAAAGCGACAACAATAACGATAATGCAATAACAACCTCTCCCGGCCCTACAGCCACCCCTACAACCGCCCCTACAGCTACAGCTACAGCCACTGCAACAACTATAACTTAATCATGCATAATTTCGCACTAATACATACACTAGCGTACTTTTAAAACACTTAATAAAATGTCCTAAAAAACTCAAAAAAAAAAAAAATTGTAGTTTATTTCCTTTTCACTTTCACAACTTATGGCCGAAGAAGACGATTCACCCTTTTTAGATTATCACGATATACGTGCTATTCATGATGTAGGTCTATTCAATCTTTTTTTTTTGTTTTTTTGTTTTTTACAAATAGTCACTCACAAGTTTTTAAAAGCAAGATAGTAAGTATCTCGGTCACCTTGCTACTTCTCCGCCTCAATTCGAAGAAGAAGAGGAACTTTTGGCTCGATTACCCGTCATACCTTTAACCTCTTCTGTTATTGACGCACCCTCTGATACCAAACCCACAGGTAAAATTTCTTTTCGAGCCGAGTTTAGAAATATATGTGTAAAACTTACATACCAAAAAAAAAAAAAAAGACGACGCCATTACTGCAGAATTACGTGAATTATACAAGACATTTCAAACATGTCTGGACTTGAGAAATAAATACATGTTGCAATCAAGACAACGTTTCGAAGACGACCCCAAGAATAAACCCGACTGGGAAATTTATCCACCCCCTCCTCCTCCTTCTTGGCCTTTACCGCCACCGGAACAATTAGAAAAAGAAAAGCAAAAGGAAAAAGCAAGAGAAGCAGATCCTATTGCTGCCATCGGCATTGATTTTGATATAAATCATGTCAAGCTACCCGAGAGTCATCCAGTAAGCTTAATTTTTTTATTTTCAGTTTTATACTGTACTCTGATATCATAAAAAGTATACATTTGGTGTAGGTGCAGATGGTTTTTATCAAGTTTATGATGGTGACACAAACCTGTACAAAGTCCCATCATCGCAACAATTCTACAAGGATCTGGATTATGTCTTGACTGCCATTAGCGACGGACCTGCCAAAAGTTTTGCTTTCCGCAGACTAAGATACCTCGATTCGAAATGGCAAATGTACATTTTATTAAACGAGTTTCAAGAACTTGCGGATTCCAAGCGCGTCCCCCATCGTGATTTTTACAATGTTCGAAAAGTCGATACTCACGTGCACCACTCCAGTTGTATGAACCAAAAACACTTGCTTCGTTTCATCAAGTCCAAAATGAAGAAATCGCCCGAGGATGAAGTTATTTATCGTGATGGAGAGCATTTAACCTTGAAGGGTGTATTCGAAAGTTTGGGTTTAACCGCTTACGATCTTTCCATCGATACGTTGGATATGCATGCACACCAAGATTCGTTTCATCGCTTTGATAAGTTCAATTTGAAATATAATCCGATCGGTGAGAGTAGATTGAGAGAAATCTTTATGAAGACAGATAATTATATTCATGGAAGGTATCTGGCTGAAATCACAAAGGAGGTTGTGTCCGACTTGGAATCATCCAAGTATCAAATGGCAGAGTACCGTGTCTCTGTCTACGGAAGGTAAGAAGGCATAATTTTAAATCACAAATCATGAAAAGCTAAAAAAAACACTCACTAGATCATTGGGTGAATGGGATAAATTAGCCAAATGGGTTGTCAATAATAAACTGTTCTCTCCTAATGTACGCTGGTTAGTGCAAGTACCTAGACTTTACAACATTTATAAATCCTCAGGTCATGTTGATAATTTTGGTGATATCATCAAAAGTAACGTCATATTGCAACTCCTAAAACATATGACATTCTGACTCATCTTCTTGTTATACCATTTACAGATCTATTCCAACCACTCTTCCAAGTCACACAAGATCCTAAATCACATCCTGAGCTCTACGTATTCCTTCAGCGCGTGATTGGATTTGATTCGGTCGATGATGAGTCCAAAACAGAGCGAGCCAATTACCAAAACTTGCCACTTCCCAAAGACTGGGACAATGTCAACAACCCACCTTATAGCTATTACCTCTATTACCTCTACTCCAACCTGGCTTCACTCAACCATTGGCGTCAGGCACGTGGCTTCAACACATTTGTCTTGCGTCCGCATTGTGGTGAAGCAGGCGATACAGATCATTTAGCAGCTGCCTTTCTAACTTCACACGGTATATCGCATGGTATTTTGCTACGTAAAGTACCTGCCCTTCAATATCTGTACTATCTAGCACAAGTAGGCATCGCCATGTCTCCTTTATCCAACAATGCCTTGTTCTTGACATACGAACGTAACCCATTGCCTTTATTCTTTCAACGAGGCCTAAATATCTCCATCTCCACTGATGATCCTTTACAATTTCATTTTACAAAGGAACCCTTGATCGAAGAGTATAGTGTAGCAGCTCAAATCTGGAAATTGTCCTCCACCGATATGTGTGAGCTGGCAAGAAATTCAGTATTGCAATGTGGATGGGAGGATAAAATCAAACAGCGATGGATCGGAAAAAACTATCAAAAATCCGGTGTAGAAGGAAACGATATGAGTAAGACAAATGTGCCGAATATCCGTGTGGATTATCGATATGAAACCTTGTTGGAAGAGTTGAACGCCTTGAGAAAGTATGCACCTACAGAACAGGGTGCTTTAAAGCACATGACAAAAAGAGATATGGTGGGTGTGGCAGGGTTGACACATGGACCTCAATTACAGCAGGATATGCATTGGCAAAACTTTCCAGGTGTGTCAAAAGTCGCTGAACGAGCTAGAAGGAAAAGCTCTGTAGGAAAACATTAAAAACTTGGTGTGATACGTATCCCCCCTTTTCAATAATAACAAATAAAGCCTTGCATTCACTAGTTGATCAAGTTGACAGATCCCTTAGTCTTATAAAGAAAGAAAAAGTATTATTCATGTGTTGCTTGCAGCTAAAGTTGAATATATGTGTACACTTAAAGCTCTGCGGAACACATTGTATTTCCTTTTACAAGAGGCTGAATTGCTGTTTTGGAAAGATATCTTTCGTTTTTTTATTGTTTTCTTTATATAGAAGGATTCAAAATAAAGATTCTTAACTAAAACTTGTCTATGTAGTACCGAGCATCCCTGCCAATAATTACCAAATAATTATCAATCAGAACATCCCAAACACGTCTAACATCAGGCTTATAATAATCCATAATATTTTTTTTCAAAGGAAATGGTCCGTCAAAAAGTATATCATGATTCCCATATGATATTTGAACTACAGCCTCATCGTCGAAAACAGTAACAGTGACCTTGTATTCAATCATGTCACCATTTTTTATCCCACTTCCTGTTGGGGGTACGTTGAGCCTAATTTCCGCAATTTTTGTCAGATGTTTTTCTTCATAATTAAAAATTTGAGTAGAATAAATAGCTGTAACCAAAAACTTAGTCTCTTTTAGCGTTATTAAGGGATCATAGACTAATTGCAATTACCGATAACAGCACTTTTAGGATACTCAACGGTTATAAGCTGAGAGAAACAATGGGGGAGCTTCTTTCTTTTAATTTTCTGGCCCTCCTTGACAAAGTATTGTTGATAATTCTTTAAGTAGTATCTACCATCCGGACCCTTTGATTTTAAGCAGCTCGGCTGAACCAAATCATATCTTTTTAAAGGCTTTTGGACCTCTAAAGAAAGTGATAGTCCCATGTAACCCTCTAATATATCAAATGGCTTTAAGGCATATTCTACAGCTCCTCGAGAAAAAGCGTTGATTGGTTCATCAGGAAAAATGACTTTGTAGACTCCTCGAAATTCTTTTTTAACCTGCTTTTGTAAGTACTTGGATTGAGAGAAACCACCAACCATGATAATTCCTTCGATTCCTATTCTATTATCTTCGGTTTTTTTGCATTGCTGTTTTATAAAAGAGAGAACATTATTGACAACGGGATCAACTATGTCAGTTTTCATGTCTTCATTTCTTATACGAAGGGTTGTATTATCGTTTAAAAATATGTTTTTTTCCATAGAAGCAGGTATACGCATACCATTTAACATCGTTGATCCATCCAGATTAAAATCGTGATAGCCATCATCATCATCCGTTAAATATTGCATATAAAGTGGCTAAAATATAAAGATAAAGTTTAAAGATAACAATCATCATTTCGAGGAAGGGCAAAATATGAATTTTATACCTTATATACGTTTTCAAAATAATCCAAGGTTTCTTCACTAACCATATCCTCAAAGTCGCCATGCGTGTCACTGTTTTCTATATAAATACTTTCGAGGTAATCCTTGAAATTCTCATTAAGTCTTATAGAACCGTCTCCGCCTCTGGAGCTTTCAAGAATTTGAAAAAAATTCAACTCGCCTGCTTGAACATGGCAGTGGTAAGTAAACAATTCAGTAGAATATCCGCCAGCATCACATAATATAAACGTTTTTCTTTCACTTCCAAAATTCCCAAAGTCTCCAAAATAATTATACAACAAGTTCTTGCAGAAAAACATAGCTGCATCCGGTTCAGTGATTAGAGTTAAGAGATTAATCTCGTTTTCTTGAATAATCTGGGCTTTAATTGCTGCTTCAACTAAATAATATCTAGCCGAATCATCCCACCAATCTGGTAAAGTCATTACGTATCTGAACTGGTATTTTTCTATTTTCATCTTGCCTTTTGTTTCATTTTCGATTATAAACTCCTTTACGTGCTCATTTAAACGCATTAAATAATAGTAGAGAGCTTCTTCATTTTGTTTTATTCCTCTATAGTCGGGATCTACTGTATCTCGCAAAAACGCACAAACAGAAGCATTTTCATCATAGACTGCCTGTAAATTGACCTCTTTCCCCCAAGCCGTAAATTCTTGCGTGATTTTTTTTGATAATAATAGAGTTGGAATCTTGTCTAATATGCTAAACCCTCCTCCAGGCCTATATTATTTAACGATATTAATTCTGCTGATATACCCACAAAGATGCAATCGAGTCGATTTGTCCTTTACCAATCATCAGCTTTGATAGTCTTGATAACGTTTTCACCGTTCCTGAGATCAACGTAAGAGCATCCAGCATATGAAGAACCAAAATCTACAAGTGAAATACAATAAATCTTGGGATCAAATTAACTTGTAGGGCAGATAATAGAAATTACTAACCAATTCCAATTAGAAAATCAAAACCTTGATTGATATTCTCTGTTTCTGAGACAATGTCATTTTCGGTTTCATCAACTGCAGTATCAAGTAAAATGGGTAACTGAAATTCATTTATTCTCAATGCTGCAGAGACTGCCCCAAATGACTCCTTGACGTAGATATCATAAAGTATACTAGCATGTTCCAGATACGTTATACCGCTATTGTACAACATGAAGTCCATAAAGTAAGGGTCATGACAATACTTGCCGGATAAAATGAGTTTACGATTTTCCAGGCTTTTGAAACTATCAATGATGTGCTGAGTAAGGTGTTTAATAAATGGTATATGAACTACTCGGTTTAAATCGCCTAAAGTGATTGTGATTGGGTTTTTATCAGCGTCTAGGATATTGGTGAAGGCGTTCGTATTGGGGTTTTCACTGTTGAAATTACGATGGTCTGGTTGGACCCTTTTCCGGGTACGCGACTGGTTAAAAGATAAATTGTCCTTAAACCGGTTGGTAAAGTCTGTAACCATATCATCTATAATCGAATTATTTAAATTTAATGCTATACTGTTGGTCTTTAAATAGTCTCGAAGATTGGCTTGTAAAGCCATTGATCCATGATTTGAGCTTTCATATATCAACTCAACCGTACTAAGTGATTCCGTAGTGTCCACGTTGATCTCAGCTATACCGAAGGCATTTTCGCTCACATTACAAACAAGATAACTTTGATTGGGAGTAAGTTCAGTTGAAATCCTGCTCAAAGAAAGAAGGTTATACGCCACAGCTTCCACCTCAGTCACAAAAGAAAGACGCTGATTGACTTCGTGTTCTTGTATTAATCCAGCATCAACAAAACATTCGGTCATATAATCCCGAAGAGATTTGGGACACACAAAGCAGTAACGACTGTTTGCTTCGTTAAAATCATTAAAATATCTACTCTTCTTAATTTCGTCAGACACCTCTAATTTTTTAAATGCAATATGAACAATGAGAGACAGATAGTCTGACAACACTTTTTTCAATGTCAGGCTTATCTTCAATCTTTCAAGATTCTCGTCCGTCGTCTGGATGTTAAAAAGTTCCTTGAAGTCTGAAATTTTGATACCATTGCTTGACATTTTCCGAAGCAAAGCACTGAATACTTTGTCGCTTGTACTAGCATCGCCTACTATCTCCTCTTTGTTTTTGACCTCTTCCATTCTTTCGTCTTTTGCCTTTTTCTTTTTCTCTCTACTGTTGTCTTTTTTAGATGATAAAACTGAAGACGGTGTAGACTTTATGACTCTCCTATAATATATTTCAGGCCATATGATATTTTAAATAAATATTTGCACTATACTTTTTCTTTGTGGGAATAAGTTGGATAATATTAAAGGGGTCCAAGACATGAGCAACAGACAATGTAGCTGCTACACCGAGATCTTGCGAATTGAAAAAAAAAAGCATTTAGTCCATGAGTCATGCACTTTGTTTACAAACGAACCTATTCCAACCACGCATGCGTAAGTATGTTCATTAGCCATTTTTTATAAAATGCTCAAGAGGTAATTGAAAAACCAAAGCAAACCAGAACATACACACACACCCATACAGTGGCGTAGTACAGTTTGTTCATGTGAAATGTTACTGTTTTCTTAGATACAATTAGGGTGCGCCTAGTCGTAATATAGGATTGAATAACTTAATTGGCATCAATGGGTGAATAAGCCTTATTGACATACATTATATCAAATTTCATATCAATAAACATATAGTGGTTGTGTCTGTTTTAATTCCAATGTAATTGTAAAGGTTCCTTTCAGCTTAACCCAAAAGATTTTGTTCAAGGTTAACATCAAACGAACATTTTTTGACATTAGCGTTGATAAAAAAATTGAATTAAGCCCCGTTTTAACTTAAGCTTGGTCCCGTTGTAAAACAAAATATTGTTTTAAGCGCTGTTATGACTTGGGCGTGGTCCATGAATAAAAGAAAGATGTTTCATTTGTTCAACATGCAACTTGTTTTACATGTATGCGTCATTATTATATTGTTTTTTATTGTATATATGTTTTTGTTTCAACTTTGAAGGACATCTACATAAGGCACCCATTACATTTTGGCTATTGCCAGGAGGAATTGACTGTCCCCAAGAAAAGCGTTTAAAAACATCTATCGAAAAGGCGTTTACGGCGTATAATATGCACGTATACTAGACTTCAGCACTCGCGTTTGTATTCAGTGTCTGCTAAACCATGTAGGTGTATATTGAAATTAAAGTTTTTAAACTAATAATCTCTATTTACGAACAAGTCTCCAATCAGTTTATGGCTTTTTCAAATGATTTCGTTTTACAGTATCATTATTTTAATTGTAAAGGAGATATATCGTAACCGGTACAGCGATTAAAGTTTACTGCAGAATGTTCAACAAGAATAGACTGTTGATCTAGTTTATAGCGATAGCCACCTTCGTATGTTTTTGGTGTCAATGAAATGTGTTGATATTCAGCATCCCTATCATCGGTAAACTGGTTCGGGTATAGAATTTTAACTGCAGCATCTTCATCAAAGACTGCAATCTTAACCTTGTATTCTATCATGTCCCCAATTTTTATTCCACACATTAGCGGTGGGATAATCAACTTGGTTTCCAACACCTTTGTGTGACACTCCGTCACGTAATTCTTTTTTGCGTCTTCACCATCATCAGAAGAAAAAATGGCTGTAAAACAATTAATTAGCCTTATTATGTGTCTACTGTTAGAGAAAGAAAAAAACATCACAAATATTACCAATAACAGCACTTGTAGGATATGGGATGCGGATGACCTGAGAGAAATAGTATGGGCCTCTCCCGCTTAGTTTCTGACCCTTTCTGACGAAATATTGTAAGCGATTCCTCAAATAATATCTGCCATCTGACCCCTTCACCTTTAAGCTACTCGATTGATATGAATTATGTTGATTTAAGGGACACTGAATTTCTAAAGAAATGGATGGTCCTTTGTATTTTGTGGGTATATCGTATGGATTCATAGCATATTTTACAGCTCCCACAGAGAAGACATTGATTGCATCATCAGGAAAAATGACATTGCAAACGCCTCGATATTCATCTTTGATCCGCCTTTGTAAATAGGTAGACCGAGAGAAGCCACCGACCATGATAATTGCGTCAATTCTCATTCCAGCATCGTCGGTGAGCACATATTGTTTCTTCAAAATGCTGAGAACCCGATCGACAATAGGGTCAACTATTTTAGTTTTAATTTCACCATTACTGATGCGAAGTGTTCTGTTATTGTTTACAAGTTTGTACTTTGTAGCTCCCTCTTTAACTGACACACTGTTTTTGTCTGTTAAATCGAAATCGTGATAATCATTATCATTTGCATAAGGCATAATATTGGGCTATTAAAATATATTTTTATAATTTGACCATAACGGCAGCAAAAACCAAAGCATATTACATATTTACCTTGTATTCTTTTTCAAAATAATCCACAGTTTCATTTAGGGCCATTTCAATCTCTCCAATGTAGACCCCACAATCTTGATAGAATTCCCAGAGATAATCTCTAAATTTGATGTTTAAGCTTTTCGAACCACATGTGTCACTATTAGACTCTAAAATTTGAAGAAATTGGGATCCCTCTTCTTGATTTTGCCAGTGATAAGTAAACGCATTGACATTTAGCCCACCTGCATCACATAAAACAAACTTTTTTCCTTCATTTCCGTAATTTCCAAAGCGGTTATGGAGCATATTTCTGGAAAAAACCATGGCTGCATCTGGCTCGTCTATGAGAGTCAGACGATCAGTCTCGTCCTCTTTAATCATTAGCGCCGTGATAGCTGCTTCGACCAGATTTGTCCGGCAATTATCATTCCATTTCACTGGTACAGTCATAATATATTTAAATTTGTAGTCTTGTTGTTGCTGTGTGTGCGGTATTTCATTTCCAATTATATACTCCATTATATGGTCGTTTAAGTACATTAGATAATATGCGGTAGGATTCATTTCACCTTCTGTCATTAATTCAGGATGATTCAAGTTTTCTTTTAAATTGTCAAAAACTTCGGTATATGAATCGTAACCCATCTCATGATTAACAGCTCCTCCCCAAGATACATGATTAGTTTTACTGTTCACCATTAATAATGTCTGGGTCTTGTCCAATAAATTTAATCCACCTCCTCCGGGCCTACATTTTATAATCGTCAATATTTCTAAATTTTTACATCTATCAATCAAAGTAGCCTATTTTACCAATTATTGGATTTGATAGTTTTAACCGTCTCTCCACCGTTTTTGAGATTCACATAAGAACACCCAGTAAAGGTTGAGCCGAAATCTACAAAAAAAAAGTATGATGTTAATTATTAAAGTTGGGCTGACAGAATATGGGAAAAGGGCCACAGATTTCAACGCACCTATCCCGATTAGAAAATCGAAATCTTGATCTATAGTGCTCTCCTCTTTAATAACATTGATCTTTTCGTCTATAGCAGTTGCGCCATCAATGGAAAAAGGAATTTGATCTTGATGAAATCTCATGGCTGACGAGACTGCGCCATACGGGCCAACCATATCGTTCTTGTACAGTTGAGCTGCATATTTCAAGCACATGGCATTGTTATTGTACAATAGACACTCGACAAAGTAAGTGTCACAGCAGTATTCTCCAGACAGTAGCAGCTTACGATCATCTATGCAACTAAAACTATCAACAATTTTTTGGGTTATATGTTTGATAAATGGTCGATATAAAACCCTGTTCAAGTCACTGAAAGAGATTTTGATTGGGTTTTTATCAATATCCAGCAGGTCAAAGACATTTGCTTTAGGCATATCCATGTTGAAACAGAACTGAATCGAGATTTTTAGTAAAATGTCTACAGGAAAATGTCGAATGGCAATCTGGTGAAAATTACCTTGACCTCTTGAATAAAGACTGTGACTAAATCATCTATTATCAAATGGTTTAAATTCAATGATGCACTATTTTCTTCTAAATAGTCTCTGAATTTGGTTTGCAAAATAGTGGATCCATTTCCCGCATCTTCATAAAGTAATTTTACCGTACTGCATGATTCAGTTGTATCCACATTCATCTCTACTATCCCAAAAGAAGTTTCGCTCACATGACAGAGAAGGTAACTTTGATTAAAAGCAAGTTTCGACAATTTCCTGTCTAAAGAAAGCATATGATAAGCAATAGCTTCCACTTCAGTGACAAAAGAAAGTCGTTGGCCTATTTCATTTTTCCTTATAATTCCGGAGTCAGCAAAGCATTCTTTAACAAACTCTTGTTGGGCTTGAGAACATACAAAGCAGTAGCGAATATTCGCCTCGTAAAAATCATCAAAGTATCCCATTTCGGTAAATTCTTCAGACACATTCAGTCTTTCAATAGCAAGATGGATAAGGATTGACAGATAATCCGCCAGCACTTTTTTGGCCGTCAGTCCTTTCTTCATTTTTCCCAGTTTCTCGTCTGATTTTTGAACGTCAAAAAGAAGCTCCTTAAAGTTTGAAACAATGATATCATTACTGCCCATTTTAGCAATAAAATCATCCATTTCTGTATCAATTATACCGACGCCACACAGCATCTCCTCATCTTTTTTATACGAAATGGCTGAATACGATCGAGAAAATCTTTGCTCATCCCTACAAAACAATTCTCGTCATGATGGGCATTGTTCAATAAAGTCATGTAAATCAAATACCCTTTTTGTACGTCGAATGCTTCAAATATGCCAAATGTGTCTTTCACATGAGCGATGCATACTTTAAAGTTATGTAAGGCAACATCTTCTCATTGAAAAGGTAATAAGTCACTGAGTTATGCCAACACTGATAAAACTAACCTATTCCAAGTACGAACTTATAATTATCTGTCATAAGAATATCAGGTAAAAAATGAGCCAAAAAAAAAACAAAAAAACAAGAAAATGCAGTTGTACACAGTGTAGTGGCACAAGTTGGACACAAGGAGTACACTTTAAACTTTAAAAGATCTGGATAGTATGTCAATTATAAAGAAGCTAAATAAAGAAGATGATGTGCATTTAGTGGTATTTAAGTGCGACCTAATATATTTAATATTTGTGAATCGATAGCCTTTCCCGGGATTCATTTCACTAAATTTTTAATAACTGGATTTTTCAAATATTTTCGTTTTATGGTATACTTTTGACCAAGATCAAAGTTCACCAAAGAATATTCAACAATAAAAGAAGTATTGTCTAGAGCAGCAGAGGATGGATCTTTTGATGGTTTCAACGAAAACCTACTTGGGTTGATTAATATCTTCTTCTTTGAACCAATGATTTTGTTCTGACATGAAATTGTAATCGTAGCCTCTTCGATTTCGACTTGGATGGTGATTTTATATTCAATCATATCACCATGTTTAATTCCATGTTTTGTGCATGGCGCATCAACTATAATTTCCGTCAGCTTTGTGTGAGAATCTGTTACATAACCCTTCTTTGCGTTTTCGCCATTTTCAGAAGAAAAAATAGCTAATAGATGTTAATTTTATCAACGGGGAGAGTATTCTATATTCAATTACCAATAACGGCACTTTTGGGATAAGCAACGTAGATGGTTTGGGAATACACAGGTGAGTTCAGTTGCTGACCCTTTTTAACAAAATACTGCAGGCGATTCTTCAAGTAATACAAATCATCTTGCCCCTTAAATTTTAAGCAACCCGATTGATTTAGATCATGTCTTTTAACAGGTCTTTGGACCTCTAAAGAGATGGATGGACCTTTGTATCTCTTGGATATATCGTGCATGTTCAAAACATAGTCTACAGCACCTCGAGAAAAGGCATTTATTGCTTCATCGGGAAAAATGACTTTGCAAACACCTCGATATTTCTCTTTAATTCGCTTTTGTAAATACATGCATTGAGAAAACCCACCAACCATGACAATGGCTTCAGCTTTTGCTCCAGAGTCTTCCGTTAGTATATACTGCTTCTGCAAAAGATCGAGGACACGATTGACAACAGGATCAACGATTCTTGTTTTCATGAACTCGTTGCTAATTCGAATTGCTTTGTTATCATTCACTAATATGTATCGTGTGGTTCCAGTAAAGTTCACCAGTACATCTGGTAAATCAAAATCATGATAACCATCATCATCCACATACTGCATATAACTTGACTAGATGAATTAAATTTTGAAGGTTAGTATAACGATAACTCCCTGAGAGACAACAAACGATAATGATTATAGTACCTTGTAGACGCTTTCAAAGTAAGCCATGGCTTTGTCAGAGATCATCTGAAGATTACTGGGATGTTTTCCGAAATCGCGATAAATTCGCAAGAGATAATCTCTAAATCTAATGTTCAGATTTTTCGACCCGCAAGTGTCGCTATTCACTTCTAGGATTTGATGAAATTTTGGTTCCCCATGTTGATAACTCCAATTGTAAGTACATGCGCTAACATTTAATCCACCAGCATCGCATAAAATGACTTTTCGGCTCTCATCTTTAAAGCATGAAAAATGCTGACGCAGTAGATTTTTAGAGAAAATCATGGCTGCATCTGATTCATCTATCAAACTTAGACAATCTCTTTTGTTTCTTTTGATGATTCCAGCCGCAATGACTGCTTCAACTAAATTATTTCTGGCAAATTCATTCCATATGGTAGGCACATTCATGACGTACTTGAACGTATACTTTTTTCGAATTTTCACCCTATTATCATCATTGACTGTTTCCTTTGTTTCATTTTCGATTATACAGTCCTTTATGTGATAATTGAAATGTTTTAAATACATTGCAGTGGGATTGATGTCAAATGTAGAATCCTCATCATCTCCACCCCAACGGATACCCACATGCTGTTTAAAATCCTCCATGATATTTGCATTGACATTATAGTTGCTTTTGACAATGGCTTTTGTTCCCCATGAAATTAATCTCATTTTATCATTTTTCTTCATTACTGTTGGGATCTTATCCATTCCATTTAAAATACCTCCAGGCCTATATTTTCAACAATGATTAATATTTACATTTACGGGTGATTACGTTCCACATGTAACCATTTATCGGACTTGATAGTCTTGATGATATTCCGAGTATCCCTAAGATCTACGTAAGAACATCCGGAAAAAGATGAGCCAAAATCTACAAGGACACGTAAATATTAAAAAGGTTGTTTGAATTACAATGTCACTAACCGATTCCAACCAAAAAATCATAGTCTTCTTCCATCTTAATTTCTGCCTTTTTGTAAGGCTGATCTTCGTTTATATCGTTACAGAAGGGAATCTGTACTTGTCGCACTCGTGTTGCAAAAGATACCGCGCCGGAGGAGGCCAAGGTAGTTAATTTGTCAAATTTAACAACATATTCCAAAAAACTTTTATCACTGTCATACATCAAAGTATCAATAAAATACGGATCACAGCTGTATTTGCCGGATAAAATAAGTTTGCGATTATCTAGGCTGCTGTAGCTTCCAATGATGCGTTGACTCAAGTATTCAATAAACGGTAAAAATATGGCTTGGTTCAAATCTCCGTGAGAGACTTTGATTGGGTTTTTATCAACATCAAGAATAGATTGAAAGGCCTTCGCTTTAGGAGTATTCATGTTGAAATTATACTTGATTGTAATAAGATGGAAGAAAAAAATCACATGTTCAGAAAATGGTACTTGAAGTAACAATAGATAAAATCCATACATTACCTTTATATCTCTGGTAAAAGCTGTAACCAAAACTTCAATAATTGGAGGATTTAGGTTTAAGAATACGCTATTATCTTCCAAATATTCCCTGAATTTGACCTCTAAGGTCGTCGCTCCATATTTTAAACTTTCAAAAAGTAACACGACTTTACTAAGTGATTCAGTTGTATCCACACTGATTTCGGCTAAGCCAAACGTAATTTCACTCACGTTACAAAGAATGTAACTTTGATTGGGAACAAGTTTTGTAGTTTGTCTCTTTAACGAAATCAGATGATAAGCGATAGCTTCCACTTCGGTAACGAACGAAAGGCGTAGCTTGATTTCATGTTTTTGTATAATTTTGGCATCAACAAAACATGTCCTTATCAATTCTTGAAGAGAATTAGGACATACGAAGCAGTAACGGATATTTTCAGTGTTAAAATCCTTGGCAAAATATCCACTGGCTTTAAATTCTGGATCATCTTTCAATCCTACTATTGCAAAGTTGATAAAATAGGACATGTAATCTGAGAGTACTTTTCTAACAGTTAATCCTTGCTTCATTTTTCCGAGCTTTGTGTCCTCTTTTTCTACATTAAAGAGAAGCTGCCAAATGTTTGATAGAAGTATACCGCCTTTTTTATTACTAGTGCTATAGTCGCCGCATGCGATGCTATTGTCTCTTTCGTATTTTATAGATGACTTTAATCTATAGATTTTTTTTCTAGTCATGTGGGGAATACCAAATTTAGCAGTGTGAATTTAATTGTACCTGATTTTTCCGGCAAATATATTCAAAGGATCGTTTATATGAGCAATGGAGGCTCTCGAGACATCTGAATTAACATCTTGCGAATTCAAAAAAAGTTTTCAATGTCAACATGCCAACGCCATTTACATTATGTACAAACAAACCTATCCCCAATACATACTTGTATTCACGTCCAGCAATCATTTTGTTGAGAATATCAAGAAAAAGAAAAAAGTGGGTCTGGGGAAAAGAGAGTAAAGAGGTTACAGTGGTACGATTTTATTATCATGGATGACACGAAGTTTCGGGGGGCGGAGGAACATCATGGAGTCCAATTGACAACTGATCTATGGCATACGGAGAAAGCCCGCAAAAGTCTACCAAATAATCATCAATAATAACATTCAAAAATGTGTGAGAATTATAACCGTTAATGTCGTTGTAGAAAGAAAATGTCCCGTAGTCAAAAAGTGTGTTATGGTTCCCGTATGAAACTTGAACAGCAACCTCCTTGGAGAATACTTTAACAGTGATCTTGTATTCAACCAAGTCACCCTTTTGTATCCCACTTGTTTCTGGAAGTATATTAAGCCTAATCTCCGTCAGCTTATATTGTATCTGACTTCCATCTTTGATGTGAATAGCTATGTAAAAATCATTAGTTTCATTGCGTACTGTCAGAGGAATATGCATTTATAGTATTCACCAATTACAGCACTTTTAGGATATTCAACCAGTATGAGCTGAGAGAAACAATCAAGGGGATTCTTTCTTTTAATTTTATCGCCATCCTTGACAAAGTATTGTTGATAACTCTTTAAGTAGTATCTACCATCCGGTCCTTTTAATTTTAAGCAGCCCGGCTGAACCATTTCATACTTTCTTAAAGGCCTTTGAACCTCTAAACAAATTGATGGACCTCTGTATTTCTTCAATATATCAAATGGGTTTAAAGCATATTCTACAGCACCTCGAGAAAAAGCGTTAATCGGTTCATCAGGTAAAATGACTTTGTAGACACCTCGAAATTCTTTTTTGATCTGCTTTTGTAGATACTTGGATTGAGAGAAACCACCGACCATAATGATTCCTTCAATTTTCATTCCAATATCTTCGGTTAGCGCGCATTGCTTTTTTATAATATCAAGAACATCATTGACAACGGGATCAACTATATCAGTTTTCATGTCTTCATTTCTTATACGAAGGGTTGTATTATCGTTTAAAAGTACGGTTTTCTCCATAGAAGCATGTCTAAGCATAGCTTTTGACATTGTTGATCCATCCAGATCAAAATCGTGATAGCCATCATCATTATCCGTTAAATATTGCATATAATGCGGCTAAAATATAAAATTAAAGTTCAAATATTTAACAAATATCGTTTTGAGGAAAGGAAAAATATGATTTCAATAGATACCTTGTATATATCATTTAACCATATTAATACATATGTACACCCAAAGATGCAATCCAAGCCATTTTTCTTTACCAATCATCAGCCTTGATCGTCTTGATAACGTTTTTACCATTCCGGAGATCAACGTAAGAGCACCCAGCATACGACCGACCAAAATCTATAAGTAAACTACGGTAAATTCTAGGGTTAAATTTATGTGTAGAGCTCATATGGGTGACTAACCAATTCCAATTACAAAATCAAAATTTTGATTGGTATTCTCGGTTTCATACGCATTGTCACTCTCATGTTCATCAACCGCATCATCAATTAAAAATGGTAATTGAAATTCTTTTAGTCTCATTGTTGCAGAGACTGCCCCAAAAGACTCCCTGATGTAACCACCATGTAGTATACCAGCACGTTCCAAAAACGTTTTGTCGTTATTGTACACCAAGTAGTCCATAATATGAGAGTCGTAGCCATACTTGCCGGATAAAATGAGTTTGCGATTTTCCAGGCTTTTAAAACTATCAATGATGCGTTGAGTAAGGTGTTTAAAAAATGGTACATAAATAAATCGGTTTAAATCGCCAAAAGTGATTGTAATTGGGTTTTCATTGGCGTCCAGGAAATTGATGAAGGCATTCGTTTTGGGGTTTTCCCTGCTGGGACCATGATGGTCTGGAAGGTCTGGAAATATAAAGTTTCGGATACTTGACTGGTTCCATACATTTCCTCCGAATTGGTCGTTAAAGCTGATAACTAAATCATCTATAATTGAATAATTCAAATTTAATTCGACACAATTTGCTTTTAAATAATCTCTAAAATTTTGTTGTAAAACAGTTGATCCATAATCCGAACTTTCATAGAGCAATTCAACCGTACTAAGAGATTCGGTAGTGTCCACGTTGATCTCAGCTATACCAAAAGCAAGTTCGCTTACGTTACAAATAAGATAACTTTGATTGGGAGTAAGCTCGGTTAGACTGCCGAATAAAGAAATAAGACTATAGGCAACGGCTTCCACCTCAGTAACAAAGGAGATTCGCTCATGAACTTCAGGTTCTTGTATGATTTCAGCTTCAACAAGACATTCAGTCACGAAATCCCGAAGAGACTGGGGACACACAAAGCAATAACGAATGTTTGCTTTGTTAAAATCATTAGAATATCTACTCTTCTTAATTTCGTCAGACACCTCTAATTTTTCGGTTGCAATATGAACAATGAGTGACAGATAATCTGTCAACAATTTTTTCAAAGTAAGGCCTTCCTTAAACTTGTCGAATTCCTCGTCCGTCGTCTGAATGTTGAAGAGATACTCCTTGAAGTCTGAAAACGTAACACCATAATCAAACACTTCCGAAATTGCGTCCATGAGATCTTTCTCACTTTCACTGGCATCACACAGCATCTCCCGTCTCTTTTTCATAAGCCATAATTTTGAAAAGGATTTTTCTTCCCTATATTATTTTAGGTTATATGATATTTTAAATAAGTCTATCTGAAATTTACTCTTTCTTGATGGATAAAAGTTCGATTATATTGAATGGTTCCAGGACGTGAGCAATAGCAATTGTAGAATCATCATCAAAACCTTAAGGATTAAACAATGTTCAGTCAGTGAGTCATGCGCATTCTTTATGTACGAACTTATTCCAACAACGCATGGGTATTTATGTTCACTGGTCATTTGTTATGAGGTGGTTAAAAGGCCAAACTAAGCCTAACCACACACTCTTACAGTAGTGTCGTACAGTTTGTTCATGTGGAGCCGGCTTAGAACACGTATTACAACTCAGTCGAGCTTAGAAAGGCACCGCATGTATTGATATTCGAAATCACATGTCACGTTTGATGTACAATGGCTTATGTGATTCAAAATATAGGACACAACTAACACGGTGATGAGGATAAACGAGCATACAATCGACTATTGATAGTTTGTCATGTAAGTACACATCCATGGCTTTAACAGAAAAGACCCTCTTGCGAGTTTTAGCTTTCTGAAGATTCGTGAATCATCATATTGCTTAGCGTCACTTCTTCTTCAGATTATATCACGTCATGAACAATTTATGCAAAAGTATAAAGAAAGTCTCGAAAGTACTCAGGAACAAAGCTTGTGGAAAATGACACTTTTAAAATTTTAAATTCCGGATCAAACGTCATCAGTTGCAGCCGGGCAGAAAAAAAAAAAAAGGGCGGCCTTGCTCAGGAAAATTTTAATACCCCACTATTGTTATTTTTTTTTTTCTTTATTGAAATCTTTCTCTCTCTTTATTTTTTTTGAACCCCCCCTCTCCTCATTTTTTTCCTTTTTTTAAAAAAAATATAGACTTATAGAAATGCTCGCTTCAGTTGCATTAAAACGTAAACAGAGGAAACAATTAAAAAAACATAAAAAAAAGACGACAATGAAGAAAAAACCAATGGATTAATCAATTGTTATTAGAGGCTGGACGTACCAATGTTATCGCCAAAGTGGCTTCTGTCACCCAAACTGTAAAACATATCCTGCTCTAAAATAAGACACGTCAACATGCTCATCATCTCATTCCTTATATAGCGTTCCATGCACGATTTAACTTTAAGAAAGAAGACTGGTGAACCCATGATCAAGTACGGTATGGGTGGTAGGTATGAATTCTTTCCAAATTTTTTTATTTTTATTTTTTTTATCCTTCATTAGCTAATTGAAAAAGTTTAGATCTTCTACCAACGGTCATATTGCTACCGTGTTTGGTTGTACCGGTTTCTTGGGTCGTTATGTTGTTCTCAAGCTTGGTAAGTCAAACACGCAACTGAATAAAAAAATTAAAAAAGACTTATGACTCTTTACTGTAAAAATAGCTCAACAAGGTACACAAGTTGTTATTGCCAACCGTGACCCTGATGAAGCCAGACATCTTAAACTTGCTGGTGATTTGGGTCAAGTCATCCCCTTGGATTTCAACTTGAAGGATAAGGATTCTTTAGTCGAATGTGTTCGTCACTCTGATATTGTTTATAACTTGATTGGTCGTGATTACGAAACCAAGTGAGTTTTCCCTTATAAGTCCCCCCCCCCCGCAATTACAATTCGCTAAAAACCGAATTTTTTTTTTATTTAGGAACTTTACTTTTAATGATGTTCATGCAGATGGTTCTCGTCGTTTGGCTGAAGCTTGTGCTGAAAATGGTGTTGCCAGATTCGTTCAAGTCTCTGCCATGAACGCTTCTGAAGATTCTCCTTCAGCTTTCCTCCGTTCCAAGGTAAAACTATATTTAAAGAAGTGAATCAGTGTCGAATGAGATGATTTAGATTTTTTTTTTTTTTTTCGTGTAGGCCTTGGGTGAAAAGTACGTGCGTGAAATCATTCCTGATGCCACCATTGTTCGTCCCGGTACCATGTGGGGTCACGAAGATCGTTTCTTGAACAGAATTGGTGGTAAGTGAAGACAAGAGAGAAAAAGAGAGAGATGAGGATGTTAATGCTGTTATTATTAGACAATGACGGATGGCAATATTATGTCAATGAGGGACAAACCAAGATTCGTCCTGTTTCCGTAAGTGAAAAAAAAAAAAATAAAGGAAAAAGGAGAGAAAGAGAGGACTAAAAAAAAAGAATATGATGATGATGAAATATAGGCTATTGATGTCGCTCAAGCTCTCAACATTATGTTGACAGCCGAGTCCACCATGGGTAAGACTTATGAGCTTTATGGACCTAAAGAATATCAAGTTAAGGAAATCTTTGATCTTGCTCGTGAGATTTCAATGAAGCCTCTTCCTATTCGCGCTATCCCTAATACCGTTACCAAGTAAGTGGGATGTACATTTGAAGAAAAGGGAGAACCCCATGATGATTTATGATGAATTTTTTTTTTTTTTTTTTTTTTAGGCTTATTGCTACTCTTATGGATAAGTTGCCTTATAATCAAATGGTCAGTCCCGATTTGATCGAAAGAGTAAGTAGATATATATATATAAAAAAAAGGATGGATCCCATGACAAGGTACATTTTATACTAAAATAAACACATGCAAAACCTATAGATGAAATTGGATGATAAGATTACACCTGGTGCTCTTACTTTTGAAGACCTTTACATGAAGCCAGTTGCTTTGGAAACTGTTGCTATTCAATTCTTGAGAAGATTCCGTAGTAATGCTGTCTTTGATCTTCCTTATGAAAAGGGAGATGGTCAAATCCAAAAGGGTGTTTACCATCTTATTGATTAAAGAAAGAGAGAGAGAAAAAGACGTTAAATTTTTTTTTTCACACACACACGCAAACACACACACACACACACACACATTTTTAATATATATATACTTTTTTTTTTTTATTATTTATTTATTGTTTATTTTATGTACAAAAAGGGGAGGGGGAATAATGAATGATGTCTGTTTAGTGTCGTTCAACAAGTGATAGAAAGGGTATGTCATAACAGATTAAAGCATCATCTTCATCTTCCTCATCTTCATTGATAAAGAAGGTCTTCTTTTTATTATAGAAGGGATCGATGGTGTCCTGAGGGGATAATGGCATGTCTTCTTCATCTGACTCTTCTTCAAATGGAAGATCTTTCTCGACCTGATCCAGTTCTTGAAAGCAGGAGTCTAACCATCCTTCCCCTTCCTGCTCTTCCACATGTTTTTCATTGTCATCGTTGTCGTCGTGATGATGAAACAACATCATGTCACTATGGAGTGTTTCTTCATAATAATGTTGTTGTTGTTGTTTGGTCAGCGCAGTAATTAATGAATTACGAACGAGAACAAAAGAGGATAAACTGGATTTACGCATATCAAAGTTTTCTAATTTTTCAAAGGATAATCTTGTGTAATATTGGTTCATGATATATGTGATGTTAAAAAAAAAAGAATAAAGGTAAGTTAAGAGAAAAGAAAAAAAAAAAGCACACACTTTATATATTTTTCCCCCCCTTTTTTTTTTTTTTTTTTTTTTTTATATAGAAGATCATGGGTCAGAAAAAAGGTCATTTATTATTGTTGTTTTTTTTTATTTTTATTTGCCACCTTTTATTTCCTCCTATTTATTAGATGTGCACGTGAAATAGATTGTTTTTTTTGGGGGGGGGAAGTTTTACATGCTATCAAGACGGTTGAAGGAATTACCACCGCGCGGTTTATCATGAAGTTTCGGGTTGTTTTTTAACAAGATTTCTATAGGGATGAGTTAAAAAAAAAAGAGGAGCACCAAAAAAAAAGAAAATAAACTTGCCTTTGTCCTTTTTTGCATGATCAAAGTTACAATCATGCTTGTCTGGATAACGATGTGTGTCACAAAAGACGTATTCACATCTACATTTATTCGTCAACTGTTTAGCAAGTGGGATCTATATATCATTTGCTTTTTTTTTTAGTTCTTTAACCCCCCAAAAAAAATTTTTTGTTTTTTTTTTGTTTACATCATACCTTTACACGACAAGAGAAACAGCGTCCTTTGTTCTTTTGCACTATTGTTGTTGTTGTTGTTAAGGGAGGTTCCTCTTCTTTTTCTTCAACTTTCACTTCTTCCACAACAGCTGTTGGTTCATGTATAAATGCTTTGGTGAATAAAGGCTTTTTATCCATCTTCATATCCACTTGCTCTACTATTTTTTTCATTAACAAAACGGAACTATTTTTCTTTTTTCAATCTCACCATCTTATTACCATTTTTATTCCGGTCTTCTTGTTCTTTAAAGCATTTTGAACACATGTTATTGTAAATCTTGCTACCGTAAAATCCGCATCCGGCTGTACAAGGTGTAGGTGCTTCAACAGCGTTATTGTCCTCCATTAGTCTGATATATATAGAAAAGAAAAAAAAAAAGTTTTTTTTTTGAGATAAAAGGAAAAAAAAAAAAATAAGGAAACCAATAGAATAAAAAATATCTAACCCCCAACTAAAATTGTCGGATTTTAGAATCTCCTCTCTCTCTCTCTTACACTCTCTCTCTCTCTCTACTCTTTCACACTCGATGCAGGAAAAAAAAAAAAATCACGAATTGACGTCACGAGTTATGACTTGTCATTTTGCGGATAATAATGAATCAAACAACAATCAAAATTTCACTATGCTATTCATAATCAATGCATCTTTTTTTTTTTCATTGTGATATCAAATGAATGCAAACATCACTGATGTATATACATCACGCCTTTTTTTTTTTTAGGAGGGGCGAGGTGTACCTAAAACAAATGTCTACATACACTTGTTATTTTAACTAACCGAAACCACGGTAAAATAAAAAGTGAGAGACAAACAAGGGTCTCTTAATGGTATGATTTTTTTTTTTTTTTTTTTGCTGGTTAATTTTAAACATGCTATTCACATTAGTCTGTGGAATGGCCTGACATTCGATGTCTAGTGTAACAAAAGCATACACACACACTCATACAAAGGATGATATCACTTTTACATGAATGCTTTTGTGGAACTTGATCATTTTTTTTTTTTTTTTTTTTTTTTGCTTGATAAATCATGAGGGATATGGCCATTCATTCTCATCAATTCTAATTGTATGACCCCCCCCCCCGCATGAATGATTGAATTTTGCTCAGTTGTCATGCACCTGTCCAGCTTGTTTCTCTCTGTCAGATGTCTAACTTCAACAATGCTATTGACAGCCTTCTATCGCCCCCCCCCACTTAACATTTATCTGTATTAAATTTATCATTGTGTATGTGCCTTTTTTTTTTTTTTTTACCTTGGCTATCATGAATATCCCTCACTTTTGTCTTTAAATATTCAACCAACATGTTCCTCCTCACAGATTAAAAACTATTCAACACACGATTGTAACAGACACACACCCCCACAAACAGGTTAATAGACTCTCACTGTAAATAAAAAGATATAGATTTCACACTACCTACATTTGAAGTGACCTGATCTTTTTTTTTTAAAAAGAACAAGCTTACTTCATATCTTGACCTGAGAGTCAGTTAACAAGAATTTATACATCTAGCGCTCCAACAATCATCAATTAAAAAAAAAGACGCTTTTAGGTAAGCGGAAATCATTGTAGCAGCTTAACAACTGAAATGGAAAGCCACAGAGGCAAAAAAAACCTCTCTCTCTCAACCAAACTGGTTTGGCTTTCTATAAAAGCAATGCCTGACCCATGCTTTCCCATGCGTGTGTTCAATGTAGTTAAAAAAAGAGGGTGTAAAATATTATAAAACTACAATCCCCATGTCGACATAAAAACACTTTTCAACGTTGACTTTACGAAACAACCACAACCACGCAAGGTATGACTTGTTTTACTCGAAGATATACTTTAAATCATCATAAAAAAGTGTATTTACGGAGGAGAGAAGGCCATTGTGGCATTATTTCAGTGTGATGCATTCTTTTTTTTTTTTTTAATATATATATATCACTTTTTGTAGCACAAATCGTTCGTCCAATGTTTAATTAAGCTCTGTCTTTGAATCATGTCAGATCTCAAATGGGGTTGCTCTTCCTCCTTCTTGCAGGGTAAACATCATTTTTATTAAACACTCTATTTCACGTATTCTGTATTAAAGGCTAGTTTTCAACTTACTTTAGCTTGATGATTAATTCGTAACAAAAAGAAAAAAAAAAAAAAAAAAGAGCCATGCTGTTTTGAGGATATCTATAAATAAAAATGGGAATCTGCTCAAAATCAGGGTCAATCAATTAAGATGGGGTTTGAATCAGATAAGCACAAAGCGTAGGTGGCCTTTTACGGACCGATATTATTCCTTCCTTTCACTCACAGGCTTACCCTGGTGGTAATGCTTCCTCAGAACCTGAATTTTTTTTATCATTAAAGATAAATTCGTTAGTTACACGTACTCTCGAGAAAAAAAAAAAAAAAAAAAAACCAGGATCACAAATAAGGTTACAAATAACAAACAATTGTCGGAAGTGAACCCTGAGGCATAAATTATATTACACAAGAAAGAAAATTAAAAAAATATGGGAGAGACTTTCCTACAGTGACACATGGGTGACTAACTAACGTTGGATAGACTGCCGCAGCGAATAATCATAAGATGGCCATCAGACATCTTGGTTTTTTTACTCGTCATGATTGTCTAAGCAGGCTGCGGTTGATGCTCAGTTGACTAATGACAATTTTTTTTTTTTTTGTGAGGCATTGTTTGTCATAAATGGCGTGTTGAATGCGTGGAGATGAAAGCGGGTACGAAAATACAATTGTTAGAAAGGGGTTTAGTGTGCGCGCAATCTCAAAGGGGGTTGGGTGTGACAAAGGGAGAGAGGGTGGGAAACTCAGGATTTCCTTTTTCATAGCAGAATATCCTTTTCAAGTGGAGAGAGAGTCACAACCAATCAAAAGATTCAAATGACCATTTCTTGATTGGTTTGAACACCAGCCAATCAAAAATTCTCTAATGACTCACAAGCAATCCCTTATTTTTTTTTTTATTTTTTCCCTCTCCGTTTATTCTCTTTTTAAAAAAAAAACCTTTTTTTTTTGCCCTTTTTTCCCTTGTAAAAGAGATCGCATAGATAGAAAAACAATAACACTTTTTATATATTCCCTTTTAATTATTTTTAACCTTCCTTTCTTAAACCATAGACAAAATTTTTTTCCCCTTTTCCCATCATGATTTCCATTTTAGTTATTGTTTAAAAAATAGTGATTTTTTTTTTCAACAAAAAAAAAGAAAACATAGCTCATTTTTTCCAAACAAACTTATCGATTCAACAACAACCATCTATTTTATTTCACCTATATAAATTTTTTATTTTTTTATAAAAAAAAAAAAAAAAAAGTAAAGCGTAGCAACTATCTCCAAAAAAGATTTCCAAAAGATCATGACACCTCACACAAACATTGCCCCCGCAGCCAGTCTTGTTGCGCAGCCCAATGATAAATACAACACACATCCCAACCATTTAATTTCTCTTTTAATCCAACAAGCAATGCAAAATGAACGTAAACAAGTATTCGAACAACAACAACAACAGCAAAAGTCGTATGTCAGTGCGCTTGTTGGTAAGGATAATCCTCATAAATATATATATATATCGAATCTTTTTTTTAAAAATAATATATGTGTGCCCCTTGTAGATGTTACGGTGCAAGTAATTGCTTCTATTTGGCCCAACTCTATCAGCTCAGCATCGACAGTGAGTGGCAATAAACCCATTGCGGATTTAAACACATTTTTGCATCATATTCTGAAACATTCCCGTACGACGCATTCTACATTACAACTTGCGATATTTTACCTGTTTCGTATTCGATCTCGAGTGCAAGAGAAACGTAACGAGGATGTGTATATTTCGTGTGGTCGACGCATGTTTCTTGCCTCTTTAATTGCGGCTCATAAATACCTTCAAGATAAAACCTATAAAAATTCTGCTTGGAGTAAAGTGAGCGGATTGAACGTACAAGAAATTAATCATGCAGAAAAAGTCATGTTACAATTATTGGATTATCGTCTCTATGTAAAGAAGGACACTTACGATCAATGGATACTCATGCTTCAAACACATCTCAAGGTCGCTCCTTCCAATTACCATCCGGTTGTCCTTCCTACACCCACCACTCAAAAACCTCAACTCACTTTATTAAAAGCTCAACAAAGTCTTCCTTCTCCTCCCCTTGAAGATGTCTGGATGCCTACTCCCGTCAAGCGAAAAAATCCATCTCTTCATGACAACGAGGAAAGGTTACCCAAGAGACGATGTTAGTTACATACTCCCCTCTCTTTTTTTTTTTCTTTTTTTCAAATCTTACTATCCCTGTCCATATAAGTTGTATATTTTACCCCCTCTCTCTTTCTTTTTTTTACATCATACATAAAAAAAAAATTTTTTTTTAATAATCACCCTATGTTTTAATTCGTGTGTGCCATGACTCATCGGAATCTTCGGCTGACCAACCCGGTTACGAATACCCGATTATTGGTTCCCTTGACAAACACCCACCTTTCTTTGCAGGGTGACCCATCAGTGACTGTTTCAAATCACCTTTTTTTTTTTCTTTTTTTTTTTTAATTTCATGCCAGTTGTCATCATTTTCTTGGGTTGATCGGGGTGTGTCCCCCCCTCCCCCTTGAACGTCCCTCATCATGCAACATTGGGGGGCACTGAAAAAAAAAAAAAGGATGCTAGTACTCAAACCCGATTGAAAAAAAAAAAAAAAAATCACAACAAGATTTTATCACCGAAACCTTTTTTCTTTTATCGCGGGTTCCCCCCCGTTGATGATTTTCTAAAATGGTTCGTGTCGGTTTGCAGTAAATTCATTTGAAGAGTGATCGTTACTCAAATACGTACTTTTTCTTTTGTTAATATATCAGGTAAAAGGATATGACGTCCTTCTCATTATACAACCGAGTGATTATCCAATCTAAAAAGGAATCAAACCGGGAGTACTGTTTCCGTAGACCCATCCCATTTACTTTGTTCTATACACACCCCCCTTCTTTCAAGTAGTCAATGATAAGCAATACTTGTTGTCAATCCCCCTTTATTATAACGCATGCCACATCATTTTTTACACACTTTTTGTAAAATCACCAGTAGAGACCTTTTTTTTTTTTTTTTCAAATAAAATAAAACATGTCAGAGTTATCTTTTTTTTTTTTTTTTACAAGTGCCCTAGTGACAGGACTCCCGTCTAAACACTGCCTAGTGTTCGAAATGGAATTGTATATACCCTCATTTTTTTTTTTTAATATGGGGTCATCCATGTGATGCTGAAAAAGCCCCCTCACCACCTTTTTTTTTTTTTTTTTTGTTCATTGACAAGCTTGTTTTGAATACAAGTTTATTATTTTTTCAATTTTAGGAAATCTTTCAATCCCGTGCTGGACCGAACTCCTTCTAGAACTTGCTCGAATGGACCCCACACACACACACAAAAAAAAAAATCGAACAATTTTTTTTTTCACACACACACACAAGACGGTAAAGAATAAATTAAAAGTGGGTGAAAACAAAATTGGATGCCCCTACTAAATCGTTCAAAATAAAAAACAAAAAAATTAGTATTACAAACATCTGTAATTCTAGTATCGAGTAAGTTTTGTTTTTGAGAAATATTGATTTTGATGACAGACCTTATATACGTATCTGGGGGTTATGAGCTCAAAGATAAAATAAGCTGTGTTGTAATTTAAATGACTTATTTGTAAAAAGAAATACCTGTCCCTTATAAGGATCGCGTGGTGTATCTTTGTTCTTTGCTACCTCTCATTGAATGACGGGGACATATGAATTTTGCTTTGATTCAATCGAAAAAAAGAGGGGCGTGAAAAATTTGGATGCTGATACATTTAGAGTGGCATCAAAATAAATCATCAAGAATTTTTTAAAAAGATAAAAATACCTTGGTAAAAAAATAAATCACAGCAAGCTCCAACATGAAAAGTTAATTTAAAAAAGAAAAGAAAATGGTGGTTGGCCTAATTTACATAAATCAAATTTGTTTAAAAATATAAAATACACAAAAAAAAAAAAAAAAAGCATCTCACGTACAAGTTTTTAAAAAAGTTGACTAGCATAAAAGCCAAGATACCTTGGGGGAGACCACAGAAGTAGCTCTGAGCGTCATTGAACCTCGTCGGATGTCTCACAGCTGTCAAGAACAACTGTCGGAATGACTACGAGAGAGCAATCTTTCGATTAAATAAAAAAATAAATGAAACTAGAAAGTAACGCTGTAATTTTTTTTTGTAACATCATTATCTTTATAGTCACGGCTGACGAATTGATGTCAGGGAACTGTTCATGGCGTCTAAGAATGGTTATTGTAAAATAGTACGAGGCTTTTTCAAACCAAACCTCCGTTTCGGTAAAAATTTTGACCTTCGCTGCGCTGCGGTAAATTTTTGACCTGCACTATGGTTCGGTACGCTGCGCTTCGAAAAAGCCTCGTGCTGCCGCAGGCCTGTTTTTGAAATCAAAAACTTAACATATATTAATTAACCATGAAGCCCACGCGCCATTATAGCTTAAGCTACACTGCTGATTATCAGTTTGACACTGGAGAAAACTTTGATGTTTCTCATTACATGTTTAAATAAAAGACGATATCCCTAAACCCAGGCTAGAAAGTTGATGTACGCAAAAAGTATTAATTGTTTATATATCTGATTAACTATTTTATGCGCAATGTTTAATGCTATTGGCTGCTATACTGGGGCGATGGGTAACCTTTGCCACAAAATCTCCATAGTTACTTTTTTTTTGAATGACTTTTTCAGTAAAGTCACTTTTATATTATGACTCTCTCCAAAATAGTCAATTTTTATATACGCTCTTTTTTTCAGTTTAATGCTTAATGTTATGGGTCGTATTCTTCGAAGAAGGGTTTTCCCCAGCCTCTAATTTTGTTCCTCTGCTAAAAAATATTACGAAGTAAAAAAAATTAACGCTTTAAAAACATAGGGCTGTAAAAAAATTCACGGTATTAAAAAAAATTATACTTTAAGATATTATTCTGTGGAAAAAAAAAAGGAACATTGTTTTTCAGAAGGTAACAATTCCATGCTAATACTATGGGCCGTATTCTTGGGTGGAGGGGTTCCCCCTCCCCCCAAACCCCCCACCCCGCTTGCGGGGGAAACCCCCGCACCCCCATTAATAATCCTAACTTTTGTAACTTTTGTGACTGAAAATTAGCTCGCCTTGTGACTGCGTAGTTACGATTCCAATAATTTTAATATAATAATAATGCAATTCAAGGTTGGATATATATATAAATATCTAATGAAAATGTTACATAGAATTTCGTAGTTCTATTTTAGAGTCTTTTAAAGCAAACCGATTGGGGTGCAATTACCTAAAAGTGATTTGTGACGAATGTGGCCAAGTCGCTTGAAACAAACATACGACATATTGATAGGATCACCAACCAAAATGTGAGCTAAGAAACAATCATATCATTCACCTGATTCAAATAATAGATCGATTTAATGGTAAATGAAGACATTTCATGGAATGTCAATTTCACAACCCCAATGAAACCGACCCTTCTTATTGGTTAAAGTAAAAAAACTATAAAATAAGCTTTTCTCGATTATGTAAAAAAAAAAAAAAAAAAAAAAAAAAAATCTAGCTCGTTTTACGCCGTATTTACAGTAAACCCCATCATCTTGTTTTTAATTTGCTAGGTGATTTCTTTTATTTAAAAACAGTAATAAATTTCTGTGTTTGCACATCGTCTACGTGTACGACTTCCCCCACCCCCTTTTTTTTTTCTTTCAAATGTTGATGTGATCTACACATAAGTCTAAAAAAAAAGTTCACGTCTATTGACATCTCATATCATGCTTCAGATTATTTGGTAAATGCTATTTAAGCTGAAATACTGACGAAAATAAAATAAGTTTGGAATTACTTGTGAAAAGGTTAGTTAACAACGACTTCAAGAAACAAAGGGACTGAAAAAGACACTGTATTTGGCATGAAGTCGTTACGCTATAATCTTGAACGAAATCGAGATTATCGTTTTTTTGCAACCGAGCTGGGCTTACAAAAACTTGAGCGAGTTCGATTTTCAAAGAAAAAAAAAAAAAGCATTTCAAGCAAGCTTCGATCAATATTTTGATCGTTGCTCGTTTGAAAGTTTTGATCCCCCCCAATTCCCGGATACAGCTATTTTTCCCGGTGTTTCTGGCTATGACTCGGTAGCAAATCTTCTGGTGTTGAAGATGGTGTTTTCTGTTCGCCTGCTGCATCTTATTGGCACAGATCGCATAAAGGGGAATTTCCCCTGTGGCAAGCCAAGGTAATGCAACTTTTTTTTTTTTACCTAAGTGTTTGATATTCTAATATACCTTATACTAAACTTCTTTTTTTTTAATGAATTAGAAACAAGATCATCGTAATCCAGGACTTGCTCATGCCGGTAGATGTATTACCACCTCCAACTTATACATGCAGGCTAATGAGCAATATTTAGAGACACTCTTATCTGTAAATCCTCCTCGTTCAACAAAAAGTAAAGATGGAATAACTTATTTGCTGATGTGATACCAAGCGTATTTAAACACAAAGGGTTTCCAAGAAAGGTTTTAGAACCGAGATGTTTTAAAGCAAACTAGGATGAAGCACGGTGTATCGCTTTCAACTCTGTACGTGATTTAAATTCAATGGCCGATAATATGACTGGCTGAACACTTGACACCAATTTGTGCACACCATCTTTTTTTTGGAGGGAGGGGGGGAAACTCAGGCAAAAAAAAAAAAAAGGTAGAGGCTCTACTCAAATTGACATTAAGTTCGAATCGTATATGTGGTTGATGGGAATCCGTGCAAAGCACAAAAGGCGTACTTTTAAAGAGCATATACTCGATCCAATTTCTTGAAGGAGGCTGAGAGTAGTAAGCCTGGTTTGGGAACAGACATGATTTCAGCTTATGCAGAGTTCTTGGATGTCTCTTTAACAGAAGCAAGGCTATTTTTAATGCAAAAAAAAAAGATTAGACTTGCTTTATCCATGGTGATGAGGACTCTGATTTGATAAAGATGCTAGATGTGCTTGACCACCGGTAGAAGCCGTACTGTAGCTATCGTAGCTGCTTTTGTAATTTATCCTACCGTGGTTTATCCTACTGTAGTTTGTTCTACTGTAGTTTATTGTACTGTAGTTTATCTTACAGTAGTTTATCTTACAGTAGTCGCTGTACTTCGATTAACTACTACCGTAGTCTACTCATGGTGTCCACTTTCTTTCTTTTTTT